GCTAGGTGATGGTGAGCCGCCTAAGGATGAAATTCTAAAGCAGCAAGCCACTAGCCCTGAACATTTGCGCACCCATTTTCCCAAAAATCCCTACTGTCCTTTGTGCCATATAGCAAAAGATACCGCCATGAGGGTTTCACATGTCAAAGATGGCAAAGCCGATGATTTTGTTGATCCCCCAAAGCAGCCGCTGGAACAGCTTGCTACGGATGATGTTATCTTAGCTAAAGGGTCCGAACACTTGGGTGTAGGTATAGGGGGAATAAGGTCGCATCATGTCATCCGCGATGCGTACTCTGGTGCGCGTGTTGCATACCCATTGTCCAAACGTACTGCTGACGCGCATGCTCGCAACTTTAGACATTTCTTAGGACTGCGTGGATCAGAGCTCACCACCCGAACGTTCATCAAAATGGACGAAGCAGGCGAGCTTGAGCAGGCGGCACATGCCGTAGGCATGGTTCCAGAAACCTCTTTGCCGAACAGATGGCCCCACAATGCCATCCTCGAGAGAGATGTTCGAGAGGAGAAAGAATGTTGCCGCACTATTCACCTCCAATCTGGCCTTCCCTATGAGTATCACACATATAGCTATCCATATGCTTGCCTTTCAATGTCATTCGACAAGCCTTCAATAGCTGACCCCGACAAAACCCAATGGGAGTCGCTTACTAGGAATAAGTTTGATGGCATGAGGTTATGCTTTGGTCAGTTAGTGTATTACCGTAGGAAGTCACCCACCAAAAGGACTTTGGAGCCCAACATGTCACCTGGTCTATTTTTGGGTTGGAGGATCGATCCCGGTTTCCGATATAGAAACATCTTAAGGGTGTTGGACTACCAAGAGTATCGCACTAGAGGTGGGAATTCAGCCGTTGATGTTCCAGAAGCAGAAATCTTTGTCCCTGAAGGTGATCCTGTTTTTCCAGTAGGTTTTTCACGCCACCAAGCTCTCATCAGGGGGGATAACCCAGATGATCTTAAGTTGCCTGAATATGCCTTAAAGGATGTGCCCTTCCCCAAGGAGGGCGGAATAGCCTCACCCTCTACACCAGGTCTCAAAAGTCGTTCTGTTTATATAACCGTAGACCGTATCCTTAAGTGGAAAGAGACCCCTGGTTGCAAAGGCTGCACTGGCCATTCGCGCGTGCACACTGATGAGTGCAGAGCCCGCTTCTCAATGTTGGTTGAAAAAGAGAAAGAAGCCGAAAAAGAAAAGAAAGCTCCACCTCCCACAAGTGAGACAGAAGCAGAAGACAAGGATGATGAAGCACATGGCATCATCTTCCAGGGTGAGGATCTGCCTGATCCCGATCCGATACCATCTCACCTCTCCGCAGAGGACAGAGCACTGGTTGAGGAAATCTTCATAAGAGGTGAGGTACCAGGGTCGTCCGAACCCAGCGCTCCAGCCGAGCCTGCTGTTTCTGTTTCTGGTGTAGCTATTCTTCCCCAAGTTGCCAATCGATGTTCCGACCTATGTCAAAAATCGCTGCCTGTTTTTGGTTGCCCCGCTGTAGGTAAGCCAAGTAACCGCGATAATCGTAGGAGCCGGAAAGCTGCCAAGAAAGCTTCCAGACCCAATGCCAAGTCAACCATGTTTGAGTTTGCTTGTTCTGAGGACTCCCAGATGGGTTTTACTCACCAAGAATATGGCATTAATCATGTTAGACTTTGTAAGGATAGGATAGACCTGGGAGATGAGTCACAATGTGAGCAACTAGACTATCAGATAGATGAAGCCGCTAAGGTTGCACCTCCACATATGTGGGCCTCTATCCCTTGCACATCCGGATCCCCTTGGCAGTACATCAATAGGAAGAAGGGTGGCGCCGCATTCATTAGGAAGCTTGCCCACCAGGTCAAAGAGTCCAAACGGTTGTTTAAGAGTTTTTCCAAACGCGCTGAAAGGGTTCTCAATCATGGTGGTACTGTAACGTTTGAATGGCCAAGACCTTGCTCTGGCTGGAAAAGGCCTGACGTTGTAGCATTCTTTGAGAAACATCCCCAGTTTATGACCGTTGGTTTTGAAGGGTGTACCGTAGGTTTAACCGACAGAAATGGTTATCCCATCAAAAAGCCATGGAAACTCAAGACCACTTCTCCCCGAATTGTAGAGGCGTTTCAAGATATGCGGTGTCGGTGCCAGCAACCCCATTCCAGATGTGAGGGAGCTGAGACCACTCGCTCCGCAATGTATCCGCCCCAAATGACTAATTTAATTGCGCAAGCTTTGTATCCCTCAAGATGTGCCCAGCAGCCTGTTCCTGCTATGCCTTGCCGACCGGCAACCAGCGGGCCTCAACCCCATAGGGAAATTGAGCAGCACCTTAAGCACGTATCCCCATTAGCTGGTTTTGAAGATTTAGCCCTAGCTATTGAATCAGACCCCACTGCTAACAGGTTGGTTACAGAACTTCTTGACCATGAACAATTGATCGCCCAAGCCTTTCACCTGGAAGACCCAAAGGCGCCAACGCCTGAGATCAAAGCAATGGTCACAAAGCTCTTGTCCCGCGCAGAGATGTTGTCCAATCCCAAGGCCCTCGAGGCAATCCGCGCCGAAGCCGACGGTTTGGTTAAAGCTGGTACTTGGGATCTTAGCTCGGTCCGCGAGAAGGAAGATGTACGCAAAGAAGCTAAGGCTTCGGGTGTGTCAGTACACTTTGGTCAGCTCATGACCATCGCGTCCATTAAATTCTACGAGCTTGCAGACCACCTTCACAAAATGAAGGGGCGCATCGTGTACAGAGGAGACTGCGCAAAGGACGAACATGGTGCAGCCGCGGTTTACCAAGAACTCGGTGCGAACCCCACCTCCGTCCAAGGGCTAAACGCCTGCCTGGCGTACGGGTCGCTGCCGGGTAACCGCGCGACGGCTGCAGATGCAGTCAAAGCTTACGTCCAAGCGCTGTTATCTTCCAAATACAAAACCTGGATTGAGCTTCCCCCGGAGCTCCGCCCTAAGTATTGGAAACAACAGTTTGTTAAGCCCGTAGTCCTCTTAATTAAAGCCTTATACGGTCATCCTGATGCCGGAGGCCTGTGGGAACAACACTTGAAAGTCATCATCAAGAACCTTGGTGGACAGGAAGTTCCAGAATACCCAGGAAACTTTTTCTTCCCAGATACAAAGTTACTTCTGTCAACTTATGTAGACGATTTAACTCTAGCTGGCCCCGCCGACCAGCATGATGCATTCTGGAGTAAGTTAACTTCTGTGGTAGACATTGAACCCCCAGAGCCCATCTATAGGATTCTTGGACGCAACCATGTTGTTACCCCACTATCCAAGACCGAAGGTCATGAAAAATGTGCAGCCTTCCAAGCCCAAGATGGCATGGTTTTTGATATGTCAGACTACGCTCAGCAGACCGTAGATTTGTATAAATCAATAACTGGTGTCACCAAACTCAAACATGCCGCCACGCCATTTCCACCTGAAGGATCCATCACCATTGAGGATGATGAAACTAAAGGGGAATTAGCTCCAAACGCATGTAAGATTTTGATGAAAGCCCTTTGGTTAGGTAGACTTGCACGTCCCGACATCATCAAGCCTATCAATGATCTGGCCACAAAGGTCCAGTCGTGGTCCAGGGGGGATGATAAGAAGGTCCTAAGACTAATCCAGTACATAGCCTCAACCCCACACTACAGGTTAGTAGGTACCATTCAGGACAAGCCTGAAGACCTAGAGCTCAGACTGTTTGTCGATGCCGACTTCGCCGGCGACAGATCAACTGCACGCTCAACCTCCGGTGGCTTTTTGGTTTTAACTGGCCCTAGTTCCTTCTTCCCACTTGCATGGATTAGCAAGCGCCAAACATCCACTTCTAGATCGACCACGGAGAGCGAGGTTGTTAGTTTAGCCCATTCGCTTTATCAAGAAGGCTTGCCTGCCTTACAGTTATGGGAGCTGTTGCTTGCACGCTCCGTAACCCTTAAGGTCCACGAGGATAACCAAGCAACAATCCTAGTTGTGAAGAAAGGATATAGTCCCAAGCTTCGCCATATAACTAGAACACACAAAGTTAATTTGTCTTGCCTGTCTGAAGTCTTCAGAGATGACTCTGCCGAGATAGAGTACACCCACACCGATGACCAGGCGGCAGACATATTCACCAAGGCATTGCCTCCACACAAATGGGCAACAGCACTAATCCTTTCAGGAATCCGTACTGACCTCCCCTTAGACCTTAAATCCAAAGCATAGGTCGCTGTGAACATCCGTTCACGCGACAGTAGTTGCTTAGATGCCTGCCAATGCGCAGTGCGTGTGGAACAGGCGAGGGGGGAGTTGAAATATATCGACCCCTGAGCCCCACCATGTATAGCATGTGCAGGTAGGTCTAGTAGAGGTATGCCTTAGCTATGAGTCCATCATACCCAAAGTAGATATCCCCGATATGTACAGTGGTAGCACCATATACCTAGAAGCGTTAGGTATATAGGCAGCCGTAGGTTAGACCCTGGTATCCCGTAATGCCCTAACAACCACCTGGGTATAACGGGGTACGCATGTGATACTTATGGCTCAAGTGCCTTCGAGAAAAGGTGCTTGTTGGTTGTTTCATGCAGGGTTTACCGGATTGGGTTTCCTTCCTTTTGTGGGTGCCTGGTTCGTCCCCCTGTTTGACTAATATATAATATATAATATATAATATATAATATATAATATATAATATATAATATATAATAATAATAATAATATATATATATTACAATTCCTTATATATATATGTTAGTATATATATATATAAAAGACATATCATATACATGTATAGTAAAGTACCCAGATGCCTCAGAACATCTCGAAACGCAAAGGTCATCACAGCCCCCGCTTCGTACTCGAGAGGGTACGTCGAAGGCAAGCTCCTGCCACTGATGCACCAAGTGAAGCTCAAGTCCATGACTGAACTTGTTGGTTGTTGCATGTTCTCCCTTCATTCGCAAACTTTGGGATCGCTTCGGGCCAGTTGATCACAGACATGCAGGTCATGGAGAAAGTGGAGCAATTCCGTAAATCTGCGCAGGACCATGTCACGTAGTGGCAGCATCTGCATCGTTCGCCAACACCACCAGCACCACCCAAACGCAGAACAGTAAGTTTGGAGTGAGTTCTGCAACCAGATGTGTTCAGCCTTCAAAGTTTTTCGGTGTTTTCCAGAGATTGTGCCAACAAACAGAAACTGCTTTGGAGCCTTTTTACGCTTCTGTTCTGGTTCTACCGCTGTTACTGTTGTTGCTACCTTGCCGTCTTGGTCTAGGATATTGGATATGGTTGTCATATGTATATACAGTATATATATATATATACTGCATAATTAATGTTGTCGTATGTTGCCATGTCAACTCAGGACATGAAGACCCTGGTAGTGACGAGGGTCAAGGCGCCTTGGTGCTGTTTGAAAAGCTTTGCTTAAGCTTTGCTCAAGCTTTGCTGTGAGGAACCGGAGTTTCAGAAGCTCACCATTTCAACCTCCAGCGGTGTTTGCGCCTCACATTTGGGCACTTGCCCGTGGATGTATCCTGACCTTTGATTGTTCGAGAAATTTCTGCTATGCAGTGGACTTTCGGGGCAAGTTTCAGCAATACAAAGGCAGTCGCATCAATCCTCATCCATCAGATCAGATCACCCATCATTAATATTCATTAATATTCATTAGTCACATAATCCATCAACAGATTCAACAAATCATCATCAAATTCAACAATCATCACTGGTTGGTGGTTTCAAACATTTTTTATTTTCCATAATATATGACATATATGGGATGTCATCCTTCCCATTGACTTTCATATTTTTCAAGATTGTTAAAACCACCAACAATCATCGCTATCATCGCTTTGAGGTGATCGTTCTTGGAGCTGCTGGTGGCGCCTTTGGCGTCGCCACCGGCGTTGTGGTTGGCTCCGTGGCAGGCCTTGCACCGGCGCTGGCCACGTGCCTTGGCTCACGGAAATCCAAGAAGATCCAAGCCAAATATGGCATGCAACGTACTATTTATTGTCAAATTTGTCAAATTTGTGAATTTTCATTGAAACTTTATTGAAACAGATCGGAACATGTTGATCACATTCCTTCAAGCTGCCTTTGGATTTGTGATGGCCCTGAAATCAGAGCAGTAGCTTGGGGTGATTGGGGATCTTTCAGAATGGACACATAGACATTTTGCGGGCCATTTTGCAGGTTTGGCCTGTCGATTCCAGCTGGTGCCATGTGTGGAGGAGTTGCAGGTCGGCCCAGCGGACTGAGTGGGCACATTTTGTCACCCATATTCACTGAAGGAGGCAATCCGGATGCCAAGTTGATTGCAACCGGAGAGTATCTTGAGAGCAGCAGGTCTGCTTGTTGGGAGCACAGCTGGTGGCACTGCTGGCGGTGCTGGTGGCTTTTGCCTCTACAAATACAGAGCTCGCAACTCAGTGAGATCAGGGAGCATGTGGAGCCATGTGGAGCCATGTGGATCCTGGAGCCAGTCAATTCTGGTGGATCCGTCGCACTTGTTAGGTCCAGATCAAGGATGGCTTTGTTCAGGTGAAAGTGAAGGCGCCACAAGTCGCCTCATGGCCGGCCTCATGGATCATGGAGAAACTGCTGAACAGTGCTGTAATTCAAGGCCAATTCAGAACAGTTCATAACCGTCATAACCCTTCTGCTGTGTTTGCGAGGCTCACACTTTCGCTGCAGATGGGTATGGAAAAGCAAAAGGCAGAACTGACATTTAATACCATTTAATACCATTTGATTAGTGACTACTGGAAGGAACTTGCAGTGAGCCCAACACTGTGATAGAGAAATACTTCGCAGAAGAGAAGAACTTGACCTCAATTGCCCTTGCCAGGTGCAGCTTTGTCTGCCAAGCTTGCCATCCAAAATAAAGCCACCCAAGCCCGTGAGAAGGCACACAGAAGATGCATATGACAATTTTATCCTCAGTACTACTGTAGTCGTGAGAAAACTTTGCCTTGCCAGCAGGCAGAGGTGACAATCGCCCTTGCCAAGGACTGGAATTTGCATGGGTTTCAGTCGGTCAAGGCTATATTTTTTGTGTGCATTAGATTCTGACAGAGCAGGACGTCCTAAGCGGCAAACAACTGATCCCACTGTTACTTCAGGAAAAGACTGGGGCTGCAGCAGCGCTGGCCAAAGCCAAGGCTGGCTTACAATTGATTTGTGTTTGGAAGAGTTGTAACGCCCTTGTATATCCTCGTCATTCTTTATCTCTTGCCTACCAGTTGCTGCAGGCTGGAGAGGTGTTCACCATGACCACAAGCACCCGCACCGGTGTCTCTTCTGCCATGGCTGTCTTGGGTGGAACGGTGGGTACCACAGCTGGCGGCATCTGTGGTGCTCTGGCTGGCGGAGCGTTCGGAGTGGTCACGGCCTTACAGATGGGCATGGGCTGGTGATGTCTGGTATGGTGTGTGGGGTCATACAAACATGATCCCGTTTTCTGAGTTTGACCCCCTATACCGAAATTCAACAGGTCAACGTTTTCAACGTTGTGTCATGCATAGGAAACCAGCATTCCTCCAGCTATGGGGCAGCGCCCAATTGCTGTCTTGATGTCGACTGTGAGGTGCCAGCGGTCTTCACCTTCGGCCTGTCCATCCCTGTGGGTGCCGGAATTGGGCTGATGGCGGGAGCAACCACAGGCGGTGGTGCTGGCGTTGTCGGCGGTGAGGACCTCAGGTTTTTGATTCTTTCGGAACCTTTCGCACTGTCAATGGGTACGGTATGGTCCGGTGAGCCCGGTGAACCCAGTGAACCGGTGGTGGGCGACCACAGGTGGTGCAATCGGCTTTGCTGGTTTTACATACCGAGATGAAATCAAGAGGCGGGACCTGGGACCCGTTGGTGACATGGCAATTCGCAGACATGCTGATGTATGGAGGTCAGCAGAGTATCTACGCAGAAAATCCATGGACTCTGCTGAGCAGGCGGGAGAGCTGATACAGCATGATACAATATGATAGAGCATGATAGAGCTTTTTTCAGCACTTGCTAGTGAATAAAGCAAAAATGAGGCAAACAAGGGCTGAGCCCAGCCGCTGCAGCTATCATTGCTCTCTCGGCTGTTTGGATGTTCAGGTCAAGAAGAGTGTGAAGTCCCTGGTGGGAGCAGGTACTGGAGAAACTGCTTGAGCAGCCCTCGGCTGCTTGGCCTTTACAGTGACGTTTGACTGGTCGACTGGTTGATCTACTGACAGGAACAGGTCACAGTACGAAGCTGGGGAACCCTTGGAACTGAATAAATAGGAGATGACGAAAACAATCCAAACAATCCAAACACATTTTGGATCATTTTGGCCTTTTTTTGGGCATCTTTCATCTCCAGCCCAGGCTTGGCGCCAGGGACGTGCATCTCATTTTCCAAAATTCATCGCGGCGTCACTGCTTGATGCGCCGTTTTGCATGTTTCGTTTTGCGAATGATGATGCGAAGCAGTGGAGAACTGTTTGGCTTGCAGCAACTCAGCAGGTTGTTGGTCTCCTGGCGCAGTTTGGCTTCGGCTGCCACATGCTGCCACTGCTTTCAACCAACAGAAAGCCGCGCCAACCTTTTGCTGGAAAAGGGCGAGCAGCCGATTCATTTCAAGTGAATGCATGTAAATGCATGAGAGCAACTTGTCCAGCATGATTCACGGATGTTCGGTGTTGAACGTGTTTGACTAGTTTGGCTCGAGATGGACCGACGATGCATGTTGAATATTGTTGCATGACATTTGTTTGCTTTGCAGTGTAACATAGTGTAACTACGAACCACAGTCATGCATTGGAAGCACTCCGGTAGACCTGAACTTTGCCCTTGTCACAGTCTGTCGACATCTCCCCAAATGCGGTGCATGCAGAGCCAGCGAAGGTAGGGCCTTCAGATCATACGGAAAATACTTGGATAGACATGGATAGACATGAGCAAGGAAGTGAGAAGTGTTTCGTTTGGTACCCTGGGCTTTGGCCCCGAGGCCCAACCCCCTTTACCAGTCTGGTGTGAACGCAAGGCGTGCAGTGCCCTTGGCACTTGCAGCGATTTGCGTTTGGCAGGCAGGGTCCAATGAGCTGCTCAAGTCAAGAAAGGCTTGTGCACCTCCATACTCCATACAGTTTCGATCCCTCTCTCTCTCTCTCTCTCTCTTGCTATTTCATAGGTACGCATGGATTTTATTTCAGGTAGTAGGGATGGTACACATTATATTAGTATACACCACGTGCGAAACTTGTATACTGTACAGTATTGTAATGTTATCTAATGCATTCTAATGTACCGTACCGTACGGTAATGTAATGTAACGCAATGCAATGTAATGTATTGTATATGATTATATATGATTGTATAATGTAATGTAATGTACTAGTAATGTAATATATGTACTCTAAACACGTTAAAATTCTTCCACATGACTGTTGAACCATTTCAGTATCCATATAAGATCATGTAACAACGGACGAATTGTACTCAGAATTTGTATTAAAATGTATTAAATGTATCAACAGTTTGCATCATCCAATCCCTGGCTGCTTCGGCAGGTGAGTCGCAGCTTTGTGGGTCTTCAGCCCACAGCTCGACAGGTCACCTTGGCGCGCCATGCAGACGGCTTCAAGCTGCGATATTTTGATGCCAAGGGTGCTGCGGAGTCTGCGCCTTTGATATTCCATGTTTCATCATGATATCCATATACATATTGATATTCATCATGATCCATAGATTGCCATAGATTGCCATAGATTGCCATAGATTGCCATAGATTGCCATAGATCCCGAAGGTGGTCGAATTTCAATGATTTTGACCGCCCAGGACCATTCGACTTGTTTTTGCTGCCGCCGGCAAAGACTATGAGGCGGCAGGGTTGAAAAGAGTGGAATGTACAGTACCACATGCCATACCCATTTTTGTACCGCATCCTGCAAGAAAGGCTTTACGCACAGACATTTAAATTTGGCGGCATTGTCTATCATTGTCTATCATTCACGCTGACCAAGGATATGAGGTACCCAATCTCTTTCGGGACACCTGGAGATTTCTCGACCATTGTCAGGAAGGAGGGGTTGGTTCTGCTTGCTGCATCTTGGTGAATATTGTACTAAAATGGATGAGTGAGATGTTCGACTATTGAAGTTTTTTGCCGTCACACGGCTACTTGTGAACTGCAATCCGAACTTCATCCCGGTTTCTTGTGCTTGATTCCATGATTGTGATTTCTGAAAGAGTTCAGAGGTTCAAGCTTTAGCAGCAGTTTATTCTTTGTAGTTTCTTTGTAGTCTCAAGATGAGCATGCTCGCCTCAGAGGGATCGCAGACGCGAAGCCACGAGGCATGCATGGAATGGGCAAGACGGGTTCATGACCGGCAGAGCAAGAGGAACCCACATGAGTGGGAAGCCGCCAAGCAAAGGATTGAATCAGCACGAGAGCATGAGAGGCAGTCTCGCAAGTGCAAGGCCGCAAAGAATCATGCTATCCGTTCCAGAGCTCTTGCCGCTGAAGGCTTGAGACAGATGTCCGCCGTGCCTGCTTCGGAGCATTTGGCCGTGCAGACCCGGTGGAAGTCCGCCCAAGAGAGCTCTTCTAGATTTGCTTCTGCCCGGTGGGACGCATTCAGCAGAGAGGCTCCTGCAGTTCCAGAGCCACAACTGCTGATAGATGAGGATGAAGATGAAGCCATGGCAGAGGCAGCAGATCTTATGGGTGCAGGAGATGTCAATGCATTGACTGCCTTGGGGAATGATGGCCTTGAAGAAGATGTGCCACGGACTGCAGGTACAGGCCGGAACATCAGATCTTCTGATTTTCATGGATTTTCATCACTGGATTAATTATTGTTGGAAAGATGTGGAATCATGCATCACTGTTGTCACAAGCTTGAGAGCGACGTACGTCGTTGTGCTGACTGCAATCGTATTTAATTGCCTGCGGCAAGCCCGCCGGCCATAGCCATGTGGTTCATTACATGAGCCGTCGGCGTAGTCGCAGACCGTGGCCTCGACCAAAACAAGGCCAGTGTGTGTGTGTAAAAGCTTCTGTGTGTAAAAGCGTCTGTGTGTAAAAGGTTCTGTGTGTAAAAGTGTCTGTGAGTAAAAGCCTCTTTGTGTAAAAGCTTCTGTGTGTAAAAGCTTCTGCGTGTAAAAGCTTTTGTGTGTAAATGCTTTTGTGTGTCAAAGGTTCTGTGTGGAAAAGCTTCTGCGTGTAAAACCCTCTGTGTGTAAGAGTCTCTGTGTGTAAAAGCGTCTGTGTGTAAAAGCGTCTGTGTGTAAACGGTTCTGTGTGTAAAATAAAGTGCCTGTGAGTAAAAGCCGCTGTGTGTCAAAGCCTCTGTGTGTAAAAGCCTGTGTGTAAAAGCTGCTGTGCAGAAGCTTTTGTGTGTAAAAGCTTGTGTGTGTCAAAGGTTCTGTGTGTAAAAGCCTCTATGTGTAAAAGCATCTGCGTGGAAAAGCTGTTGTGCGTGTAAAAGCTTTTGTGTGTAAAAGCTTCTGTGTGTAAAAGCGTTTGTGTGTAAAAAAACACAAAAACTCCTGCACTCTGCTGGGGGAGCTTTAGGGACGGAAGTCGGGAAAGCCTCTGTGTGTAAAAGCGTCTGTGGGTAAAAGCTTCTGACGAGTCGAAGTCGGAGTAGGCGTCGGAGTAGGCGTCGGAGTAGGCGTTGGAGTAGGCGTAGTAGTAGTACTAGTAGGAGTAGTAGCAGTCGTAGTAGTAGTAGTCGTCGTCGTAGTAGTAGTAGTAGCAGCAGCAGCAGTAGCAGTAGCAGTAGCAGTAGCAGTAGCAGTAGCAGTAGCAGTAGCAGTAGGAGTAGCAGTAGCAGTAGGAGTAGGAGTAGGAGTAGGAGTAGGAGTAGGAGTAGGAGTAGGAGTAGGAGTAGTAGTAGTAGTAGTAGTAGTAGTAGCAGTAGCAGTAGCAGTAGCAGTAGCAGGAGCAGCAGCAGCAGCAGTAGCAGCAGCAGCAGCAGCAGTAGCAGTAGCAGTAGCAGTAGCAGTAGCAGTAGCAGTAGCAGTAGCAGTAGCAGTAGCAGTAGTAGTAGTAGTAGTAAAATGCAATAAAATAGGGGCAAAATGCAGTTTTCAGGGTGGGATCGGTTCGGTTCGGTTCGGTTTCGGTTTCCAGGAACTGGTGAATTTCCGGTTCCCGGTTCGGTTCGGTTCGGTTCCTCGGGATATAATTTAAAAAACGGTTCGGTTCGGTTTCCGGTTCCTAACCGGTTTGGTTTCTGGTTCCTAACCGGTTCGGAGTAAGTCATGGTCTTGGTATTTGCTTTTTACGGCCATTCAAAAAAGCAAAACATGTTCCCAGTTAGTTGGTTGTTATGATTCATGTCAAGGACACGTTGCGTCAGGTGGACCTGGTCGTGGAGGCTGTTTTCGTTTTTCTAGGCTGCCAAAAAAGCAAATCCAACACGAGAGCACAAGGGTTGTGTTTGTGCTTTGCATAAGGGTTGTGCTTTTTCTTTTTTGTGGCTTTCGAAAAAGCACATCCAATACGAGGGCACCAGTTTTTTTTGCTTTTTTGGTGCATCCAGAAAAAAACAAATCCAATAGGATGGCACAAGGGTCGTGTTTTTGCTTTTTTTGGGGTTCCAAAAAAGCAAATCCAATAGGAGGGAACAAGGGTTGTGTTTTTGCTTTTTTGGTGCTTCTAAAAAAAACAAATCCAATAGGAGGGCAAAAGGGTTGAGTTTTTGCCTTTTTGTGGCTGCAAAAAAAGCAATCCCAATAGGAGGGCAGAAGGGTGTTGTTTTTGTTTTCTTCTTTCTTGGGCTTCTAAAAAAAACAAATCCAATAGGATGGCACAAGGGTTGTGTTTTTTGTTTTTGTGGTGCATCCAAAAAAACAATAGAAGGGCACAAGGGTTGTGTTTTTGTTTTTTGGGGGGCTCCCAAAAAAAACAAATGCACTAGGAGGGCACAAGGGTTGTGTTTTTTCGTTTTTGGTGCTTCCAGAAAAAACTATAGGAGGGCACAGGGGTTGTGTTTTTCCTTTTTTGATGCTTCAAAAAAACAAGTCCAATAGGAGGGCACAAGGGTCGTGTTTTTGTTTTTTTGGGGGTGGGCTTCCAAAAAAAACAAATCCAATAGGAGGGCACAAGGGTTGTGCTTTTTGCTTTTGTGGTGCTTCCACACAAAAAAAAAGTCCAATAGGAGGGCACAAGGGTTATGGTTTTGCTTTTTTTGGGGCTGCAAAAAAACAAACCCAATAGGAGGGCACAAGGGTTGTGTTTTTGCTTTTTTTTGGGGCTTCCAAAAAAACAAAGCCAATAGGAGGGCACAAGGGTTGTGTTTTTTGTTTTTGTGGTGCTTTCAAAAAAAAACAATTAGAAGGGCACAAGGGTTGCGTTTTTGCTTTTTTGGTGCTGTTTAAAAAACAAATCCAATAGGAGGGCACAAGGGTTGTATTTTTGGTTTTTGTGGGGCTTCCAAAAAAAAACAAATCCAATACGAGGGCAGAGATTGAAGGGAACGTTTGCTTGAGAGAAACAAACAGAGCACATGCCGGCGGTTCGCATCCGGTTCCTCCCTTCGGTTCGTCCGGTTCGGGAGCTTATTTTATACATTAGCGGTTCGGTTCGGTTCGGTTTCCCAACTGCCGGTTTCTGGGCGGTTTCCGGTTCGCGCGGTTCGGTTCCCGGTTCGCGGTTCGGTTCGCGAACCTTCCTGAGTTTTTGGGCAAAGTTGCACTTGACATGGTCCAAGCCGACATGTTTGTTTGTTTTTTTTGGAAAATTAAAACCTCTAATTCCCTAAGATTTCCTCTACTTCCTTTTTGATTTTTTTTCCCTCTAATCCCCCTGACCCACGGCATTTGGCAGCTACAACGCCCCTGGCCATGTGCAGGCCATTGCAGGCCATTCGGAATGATCTTCAGTCAAAGCTGGCGAATGCACAGGAGGAGGTGCTGTAGCAAGTTTTGCATTGCTGTAGATTTTGACCTTGGTCCCTGATGTGACGAAATATTATGCACTTTTCGCTTGATGCAAAGCTTCGAAACCAGCAAGTGAGACGGGTACAGTAAATTCGAATGCAGAACCTGGCGCAAGGTCCAAGATCTTCTAGAGGTCAGAGACCACGATCTGGAAGAGATGTTGCGGCTGGCGAAGGAGATTGAAACTAGAAATGCTGCAGTGGTTGGCAAATCTGATTTTATCTCTTTGGGTTGCATTCTGAGATATTCTGGGTTCCAAGAGAGTTCCAAGAGACTGGTGTCTACGCATGCCAAGAATCTATACATGCACAGGAGGTCCAGCAGTGCAAAGAACTACTGAAGCCCTGCCAAAGTCTTTTCACCAATGCCCTTGACCTATAGACTGGCGACTTTCGCTTCTCGCGATGGTGAAAACCAAGTCCAGGACATCCCAAAGCAGGTTTGTGGTGCAGTTTGCTCGATTCAAACCAGACACTCAGCAAATTGCAGGCGCTTCCTTTCATACCGCGGAGTTGCTCCAACTTTGAATGAACAAACCGTAAAGACAGCTTCTACACGCTAGACTGAAAACGAACAAATTGAAAGGCAACGAGCCACAACTTCTCTGATTTGACCAATGCAATGACGGCCCTTGCGTTTGCAAATGCAAGGTGGCTCATCTCCATAGGGATGTAATGGGTTTACCTGTGCGAGTGGTTCTTACCCAAGTCAGCATGGAGAAAGCCAGTTTGCCGCATATTCAATGTTGTTGTTGTTGTTGTTGTTGTTGTTGCGGTGGTTGTGGGAGAACAATCTTGTGGGCCATCTCGGAGTTATGTTGGGCCATCGTGGGGCTATGTCATTGTGTGGCCATCTTGGGGCTATGTTAGGCCATCTTGGGGCTGTGTGGGGCCATCTTGGGGCCATCTTGGGGCCTGTATATTAATTGCATTTTCTTTTTGGGTAATGTTCCTGCTCGAACGCAGGAGTACCAAGGGACGAAGTGGCGGTTCACTCCAGGTGGTCAAGCCCTTTGGCTTTACTGCCTGGAGTGCCACCAAAAAAGGTGGCCACAGAACAGGGGCTTAAGTATGTGGGCTGCTTTTGTCAGCGGCGGGGGCATTGATTGTGTTTCCATGAACGAAGTATCAATTTGGAAAACATACGGACGGCTTTTCGTTAAAATTATTTTAAATGATAGTAGGCCTGTGGCATTGAACTGGGGATCTGGATGTTGTGCCCTCCTGGCTGATGCGGCCAGGATGGGCGGGCTCCGAACCGGTGGTGCAAGCCATCCGCCTGGTTTCACCTGACCAGTGCTCCTCCGGAGGCTGGGAACTTAGCCTCGGTGCAAGATCATTCCTTTTTCTGCCCTGGATGTTGCGGACAGGTGGCGCCTTCCGTGACGCAGACTCCGCCGCAGAAAAAGAGGAAGTTGCAGCGCCAGGCAGGTCAACATTTAAAAAATTGCTTGGTTGCGGCAATGCAAGCATGATGTGGCGGACTTGGGGCTGCCGAGAGGAGTTCTATGTGAAATTGTGTAAGTTAGTAGTATTATTGGGTTTATTTGACGTGTTCGTTTCTGAGTTGGTCAATTTTTTTGGTGAGTGGATTTAGGAAGAAACATGACGGAGCATGTGCATTGAAGGGAAAGAGCGCATATTTGCGATAGGCTGCTTCTTCTTCTTCTTCTTCTGCACCGTAGCAGCCAGTGGCGGCTGCTCGGAAGCAGGCAAGTGTTGTGGCGCGGGGAGTAGGTCAGATTGTTTTGGCCGGAAGTTGGCATTATTCTTTGGACTAAAGAAACCGCGTCATTTGCAGATGCGATATCTTGGATAGAAACAATGCATTTTTGCAAAACAACTTTGTATATATATATTATATATACAAATAATATTATATACATATGTATATATATATACACATATGTATATATATATATGTATATACATAGTTATGTTTTTATATATATATGTATATATATATGTATATATATATGTATATATATATGTATATATATATATATGTATATATATATATATTTGTATATATACATATGTATATATATACATATATATATGTATATATATATGTATGTATGTATGTATGTATGTATGTGTGTATGTATGTATGTATGTATGTATGCATGCATGCATGCATGCATGTATGTATGTATGCATGCATGTATGTATGTATGTATGTATGTAATGTATGTAATGTATGTAATGTATGTAATGTATGTAATGTATGTAATGTATGTAATGTATGTAATGTATGTAATGTATGTAATGTATGAATGTATGTAATGTATGTAATGTATGTAATGTATGTAATGTATGTAATGTATGTAATGTATGTAATGTATGTAATGTATGTATGTATGTATGTATGTATATATATATATATATGTTAGTACTCCTTTTTCTTGGCGCGCTCCCTCTTGCGTCCACCGGGGTCGGCGGATATATAGCCTTTTTCAAAAGGCCTGTCTTTCCCGTACTACAGGGGGATACCTCCCAACAGCCCCAGGCCGAAGTATTGATGAACTACTTTCACAACTTCGCAAGGAGCCTGCAAATGAAGAAGAGTGTGCTGCAAAGTTCATGCTGTATGATGCCTGGCCAAATTTTGCAATTTTTCTTTGCTCACATTCGCTGAATCGGTTCCCTCCTGGCTGATGAATGCGATGCCAGTCTTATCGCTTCGTTTCCACAAATGATTGCTGCTGCATCGGCTGTCAGGAAGGCTATGCCCGTGAGGTGGAGGAGGCAAGACGTTAAAGAGATGTAAAAAAATGCCAAAAAGGGAGGAATGGGCAGAACAAAGCATTTCCCACATATTTCACAAAATTTGAACATGATACTTGTAGCATGCTGGAGCTAGTTTGGTGCACAAGCTGCATATGATTAGTAGATAGATATGAGTATAGCACATAGTAGCGCGTACAGTAATTGGTGCCACAACATCGGTGCATTGCAGAGTGGGGCTGGGAGAAATCAAGCGAGTCAACCCTGAGATGCGAAGCACATTGTTGAAATTCAATGAGGAGACTCGCCCATTTTTGCCAGCCACTGTTGCGGCAGATCTGGGAAATCAGATCAGAAAGATTGATTCCACAGAGGCAATGGGCATCCCTGACGATGTGCGGGAATGGTTCGTCTTCCACATGATGAGGAAAGCCGAGCGGAACAATTTGAGCATGGCCACTTGGATCTGGATGTGAAGACAATCTTACTGGGTTTGGTTTGTGATGCATTACTAAACCTTAGACTTCAGTCAGATTCACCGTAGACATCGTGCCTGGAGTCACTGGACATGGGTTTTGCACAATACTAAATTGCTAGATGCATCAATGATCAATTCCGAAAATGGAGAAATACTGAAATACTGCATTGTACTGCTGAATTGACTCTTCTGCGCATCTCTGCTCTCCACTCGCACAATAGCCTAGGCACGCATTCTGGAAAACTTTGAGAAAAAGCTGGCATTTTTGGCCAACAATGACCAGCAAGAGTGCCCAGTTTGCTTAGAGAAGTTTGAAACTGGCGACAAGGCACCAGAGACGCTGGGCTGCTGCCACAAAGTCTGCAAGGAATGCTGGGAGAGTTGGACTCAGGTGATGGGAGGCCGGCCCTTTTGCCCCCTTTGCCGACACGACGAGTTCCTAGGGGCGGTTGCTGCGAGGCTCTCTGAAGCTCCATAACCAGTTCGGCCACTTGACACCGAGCGAATGTGAGAAAACAGGAAATGCTCAGACTCTTCCCGCAGAGGGAATGTACAGATAGTCTGCAACAAGTCGACCTGCAGCCCTTTAGCAGGAGAAAAGAAGTGCAAGATGGATCAAGATGATGCAGTTGTACTTGGGAACTGATCTTGGAATCTTGGATCAAATGTCAACCAAGTGCCTCAATTGGATTCATCTGAGAGGAGTTTGAAGCTGATCGGGATGCCGGAAAGATGGACATCTCGATGGGCAAGGCAACATAGCTAGGACCCCCCCGCCTTGTCCCCGTTTCGTGAGAGATCCGTTAGAAATCATCATTGGATCAATATAGAATATTGCAGGTACTGTATAGGATATATCAATATCCATGATCATGACTTATAACATATCATTAAATATCATTAAATCAAATATCTATCATATCCCATAGCCTATAATAATCTATAAATACACTGTCATGCAGGGCATTTTACTGCGTTCAGGTGCCTGTCCTCGATGTGGGGGACTTTTCGTTGCCTCAAAGCAAGGCCATTGAGCGCTACGTGGTTGCTCGTTTGCAATTTGCAATGACACGTTTGTTTGTCCTTCTAAATAACTTATAACTTTATTATGTATTCCACTTATTCTACGTTTTTCTTGTTTTCTTATTTTCTTATTTCTATTGGCAAACATGTTGTCTTCTACAAAGTTGAAGGGGAAACAGTCCCGCAGCTATATCAACTACAGAATTCAACCTGTGTCACCTACAACGAACGTGGAAGCATGAAAAGGTGCAGAGAGTTCAGGACAGATGGGACTGCTGCATTTCCTGCTGAGGCTCGCAAAGTTGGGATGATGGGATCGACACCAGAGGAGGAGGTGACGGAGTTTGACAGCCATGGTGACGGCAGACCGATCTGGGTTGATGGTTAGGATTCTGGCTTTGGCTCCTGCAATTGCCTGTGCAAAGGCATCTGGGATTCCGAACCAATTTGCACAATCAATCACCCGTTGGCTGAAGACTATGGACCTTTTAGATTAGCGGCTTGATCTATCCCTGCCAATGGAGATTCCAATTCAAGATTTTCAGGCCTTGGTCGATGCAATGGCTGAACATGTGCGAGATGTCAACGATGCACCTGGGCTTTTTCTGATCTCCAACCAACGCTTGAAACTTTAAGGGTTTGCCACTGTTTGCGAGCACCAGCCGCCCCTGCTGATACTGAGGCATACAACAGGAAGGGATTGTTTTTCATGAAGGATGAAGAGAAAAAAGCCGAGCTGAGCTTAAAAGATTTTGCAAGATGGTGTTCGAATGGACATCAGCGTCAAAGATGTGGTACCACTGGAATCTTTGCCTTTCTTCCAACCAAGGAGCTGAAGAAGAAATGGTATGAGGAGGATCTGCATTATCTGTATGTGGAAGATTGTGGAAGTGCTTAACTTCTTCCAAGCTTGTAGCAATTTGATGCATTTTGTAGCATTCAGCACTTTCATTTCATTTCCCGTCGCGTCTTTCGGGACGAGGAGCTTCCTCCCTTCTTGACGAAGTTGGACACAGCTTTGCCTGGAAGTGATGGCTTCGCAGTAGGGAAAAAGGTGCAACTGCGACATTCTGCACTCTGCACTGAAGTTGAAGGGGAGGGATGAGGGCTGAGGATAAGCTTTATTCAATGGGGCTTGAAATATAGAAGGGCAGCACGGTGAATCCGAACTGCAGAATTGTCCATGGGGCGGAATTCTTCCTTGAAGGTTACTCAATCTTGATACGTACTAGCCAAGATTGTGCAGTGGTGCAGGCCTCCCTGGCAGATGTTGCCATCTTCAAACTGCTGAAGGACTGGTAGTGGAAAGGTTAGAGAACTGAGAGATGAATAGAGGATGTGACCCGACGTGACCTCAGCCCTGCAGATGACAAAAATCAGGAGATTGTCAGCATCATTTTGGTAATACCTGGGGATGATGAGCCCATGATTCTAAAAAGGCAAACAGTATCAAACAGTGCAACCGTGCAGAAAGATATGACCTTTCAGGACACCTATGATGAGGACGTTTCTGATGCCTACAAATCTTGCCCCAAGCTGAAGGCTCTTTGGCGACAGCGGCGACAGTTCGAATCTTGGGATGCGCCACGCAATGTGTGATGATCTCTGCAGGCGATTGTCAGCAGCATGGAGAAGAACGAGGGCATTAAGAAGTGGCTGGAAGAAAGGACAGCGCCGAAGTGCAGTAGCTATAGTAGCTGATGTGTAGCTTAGCATAGCTTTATGGTAAAGTAACATAAAGTAACCAAGAGTTCTGTAAAATAACATCTGTGACTACAATCCCGCAGCTTTGGAGTGTCTCTCTTGCCAGGCCGAAATCATTCATTTGAGCTATTGAATTGGACATGCGTAGATTGGCGTAGATCCAAAGACCCAACCAGCCAGAAGAGAAAAGATGCTTTGCCACTTCTCTTCACTCGAGAAGGGGTCTGTCTCAGTGGCACAAACACAAATGATCAAGTCCTGCAGTCTGCACAAACATTCTGTTTGATTCTGCTTGTTTTTGAGAGAACAACGCAGGATTGCCCTCTGCGTATGGCGGTGGCCGTGTATGGCTAGCTTATGCGCAAAGTGCAACAAGTCTCTTTGCTCAGAGTAGTTCGGCCCCAGTGCGTTTGCTCCGCAGGCCGGACATCCAATCCGCCAGAATAACCACTATACTATGCCTATGCTTATGGATGCTTATGCTGTGGTGACAGTGCAGAGTGGTTGTTCTTCGACATTAGCCTTACTGGCTTCACTCGTGATCCGTCTCTTCAGTATGTTGGTATGTTTGTGGTGTCAACGCCCGCAAGGGGCCATGCGCCAGTTGATGTTTTTGGGGGATTTTTGGGGGTGGGGTGGGCTAATAAAGTTCATTCGCACTTCCACACATACGTCATGCTACGCTACTGGACGTTCTCTTGGACTTCCACACACTCCAAACCAGTTGCACATACACACACACAAAGACTGCAGACAAGACTTGCCCAAACTCTGGAAGTACAGTACTTGTATGCTGCTGTGGCGCAAAGCCCTCACAGGCAAGGTTCTCAACAAATTTGGTGAACTTTGTGCTTGAATTGAAGAAACAAGGAGAAACTTTTGCAAGAAGGTCCGGGCACACGAACTAAGAGTTTCATTGTGGTAAAACACTCAATTTTGCAATTTTGAGGTGACCCTTCCACAAAAAACAAACACAAATTTGATGAAGAGAAATGAACATCTGCAAATTACATCAAACTACCACAGTTTTGGACATTTGAACAATCATCATGTCATTGGCTGATGTCATCACCGACACAGCCTCTTACAGAGTTGATAACTGATACATATTGATACCATGTTTACCTTTTGATACTACAGCAGGGTTCCTTACATTTTTTCTGTAAGCATCAACTTCTGGGGGTCCGCCACGGTATGCCACGGTATACCGTGCGGCAAGATATCCCAGGGGGCGATGGCACCTGGGGCATGGTCCGGCTTCAGGAGGCTGTGTCGCTGTCTGCGTCTATCAAACACAGAACAGCCAAGATTGTAAGGGCTTTGAGATGCTTTGAGTACATACTGAACGTAACATTACATCACATCATATCACATCATATAACAAAACATAACCCTGTTCCTACAGGTCTAGCGAGAGGACAAGAAGACAAGCATTGGGCCCAGCATGCAGTGGCCAGAGAATGCAACGAAGGGTGCAAAGGACTCAGGGAGTCCCCAAGGACGAGTATACAAGATTCATGCAACCATAATTTTAAAGTGATGACTAGTGATGATATAATACGATGATATACGATGATCATATCATGTTTTTGATTTCTGGTGCTTGCTCAGCAAGGCTGCGCATTTCCGCGTTGGCTGGTCTGGATCTCGACGATGCAGATTTGCAGCAAGATAGACTTGCTCAACGTGCAGCGGTCACCAAGTTTTCACATCGTTGTCAGGTCTTGGCTTTGCCCTCTACTTTTTCCAGCTCTAGCGTTTTGTGGCAGGTCCGAAACTTACTTGCTTCTCACAGCATCCCTCCGCTGAACAGCCAAGCTTTTGAAAGCAAAATTGGAAACAAGCAGCAAGTCAAAACCACTGTTTTGCTGTGCTCATAGGAGCGTTTTTGAAAGTTATAGTTATACGGTTATACGTAGTTATCGCCCAGATCTCTACAGATGGTGTGGATGGACTAAGTCTTAGACCTGTCTCTTTGTGGAGACTTCCTGAACCTGACCAGCACGACAGCTGTGAACCCAGAGGGCCTTTCCAACAGCCAACACATTTGCCAAATCGTTCTGCGAAAGCTGCATGTAAAAAGTTTTGACAGAGACTGTCTCGTGGCCCCAAGTTAGCACATTGACCCTGCGTAAAGTGTGACTTTGAGGTCGGTTGGAACTAGAAGCTACGGTTCTGGTCTCATTTGTTAGTACAGTCTTCCCCGCTGAGAGCCCAACTGTGAAAGTTTAACAAATCTGCAACTGCAAACGGGCAATATGTTTTTCTTGAGGCTGCACCGATTGCAAGAAAGAAAGCAGGGTCTGCGCTTACCAAAAGAGCCTGGGCCTTCTCTCAATTGGATCCGAAAGCTGGGAAAGGCATGAGATCTGCGGATTTTTGTAATGAAAAACCTGCTATGCGCACCGTGTGCTGTGAGGTGCCACCACCTTCCGTCAGAGTGACCAAACTGAAGAAGGGTGAGAGATACAGAGGGTCAGATGCTCAGGCCCCCACCTGAAAGTCAGGTTTGGAATTTCAAGAACCCAATATCAAAATATATCAACTAATACTCGTAGAATCTCGTAGACCAAAGCATATCAATACGCACAATTTGAACCCGCGGGTAGATCCTACTCGTCGATTTGATTCGATTTGTATGGGTTTGTCACTGATACAGACGGTCAGAGCTTGCAGTCTCGATCTCCAGACTTACCCCTTTTCCTCAACAGTTCTTCCCTTCGAAGTTGTAGGTCATGGTATTTGCACATCTAATTGGAGCTTCAGAAGCTTCAGACATGTGTGCACCTCTCTCGTTATATTTTTTGGCACTGGTGCCAGTTTTTTCTCCATCGCTGCACTGGATTTCTATTATAGTGAGATCTTGCCCTCATCTCATGGCACTGCAGCTGGTAGACATGCAACTGTGAAACGTGTGAAAGCACCTAAGGTATATCAACCCCAAACTCAAGGCTCTCGTCGAGGTGGGCACACGCACACACATGCACACAGATCCCTGCTGTAGGAATTCAAAGAGATCCGACAAATAGCAGGATCTAGCATTGTCCAAAGATCAGTGGGATCAGATCCCAAACCACCCTTCATGTGGGATAGAATGGGATAGAATGGGATGGAATGGGATAGATTTTTGAGTATTATTCTGATTGATTTGTGTCATTCTCGCAGGCCTCTGAGTATCGGAAGGTTGTAGACCTTTTAGCGAGACTAGAGAAAGAGGCGCAGTGCTAAGCAAATCCGCCCGCAACAGACTCTGTCAGCTTGTGAGAGATTCGAATTGGGACTTGCTTTCATAAACCCTGGACTTGCAGCACTTTGATTCCCTGTTCAGGGTCAGCTGGACAGACTACTTGTCAGCGCAGAGGCCCGCAGCCTGTTGCTCGGCTTCCCAGCACAACACAGTGTGTGTGTGTGTGCGTGTGTGTGCACGCACAACCCACATGTTCAATGCTGCAATGCAGGGGTATTGGAAAGATCTCAACATTTTTGAGTTTTCGGCCCTGGCCACTTGGGTGCAAGAAGTGCCTTCAGTGAGTCATGCTTATCTGAGCTACAGCCAAAATTTACCATAATGGAAAGTAGTACTCGAGACATCTTTATTTTTTGGAAATTGAGCTGGTGCTTCGAAAACGATAATACACTCTTCAAAAATCGACAACATTTGCTATATTCCCAAAACCTGAAAAACGATGATACACTCTTCAAAAATTGATGACTTGGAGCTATATACTAAATATTGATGTGGCCCATCTAAGATTGATATCTGACGCTGCATTTGAGGAGAAAGAGGAAGGACGTCGCGCAGTCTCCAAGATTTTGAGACGAGACTGGTCCAGGAGCTTTGTGCGGAGTAGCTCCATGAATTGCGCTGGACAGAGCCAACTCAGTGAAGCCATGTGAAGCCGGAATTCTTGGATACGTTTGTGGATACGTTTGATTTCCAATTTCTTGCTGTCTTTGGTCATGTTTTGCCGCTGTCACAAACCACTGCCACGGTTGGCTCAGCCGTCAGTTAGGAAGAGTTCTTAGCAGCCATGGTGGTTCTGAAGTTGAAGACAAGTGAGGGCGAAGTATTCCGTTTCCGTTTAGAGAGATGTGATCTCAATGAGGTGCAACAATATGTGTTGATGGCCTGCGAGGGAGACATGGGGCACCATTGCTTCATTGCTGATACCACCCGACCACTGACTGAGGAGTCGTTGCAAGAGGCGCTAAGCCGTGCAGACGATGGTATCATTAGGGTGGAGATCAAGGAAGGGAACCAGAACAACCCACAGAACGGCGGTGACAACCAAGCTGTGAAAAACGAGCAGAATATGTCAAATGACATGTCAAACGACATGCCAAATGACATGCCAACTGCATTTGCGGCTGAAAGATTTCCAAGTGGGTTTGTCGCAGAGGATGTTGAGGCACAGGCACTTCAACCCTCGGCGCCTCCGCCGCCTCTGGAGCCGCTGTTGGGTGTTTGGCACGGAGCCGCCAATGCCGTCGTGCAGGATCCGCCTCCGCTGCACCAACCTCAGCCTGTGCAAGGCGTGGTTCTACCGGAGGTCCCAGAGGTGCCGCAGGTGCCACACGTGCCACAGATGCCGCAATCTCATCCCTGGGACATGCAGCAAATCCCACAACTGGGGCACTTGGGGCACCTGGGGCAATTGGGGCAGCTGATTTCCCAGAATCTGCAACAAGCGAATCAGCATCTCCATCAGCATCTTCATCAACACCTACATCGAACCCATGAACATTTGCATCGACACATGCAGCAACTGCATACAAATTTGCACAATCGTCAGAGAGAGATGCATGAAGAAATGCATCGCGTGCATCGCCGCTGTGCTGAAATGCATCAGAGAGCACATTGCCAAGCACATGCCAACGCGAACTCCTACCGTGCACAAAACCCTCCGAACCTGGGACAAGCATTAGGCTGAGGTGTACTTGGTGTTGCTGTTGCCTGATTTGAGTTTCCACCCTTGAGCAATGGGGTGCACTTGTTTGTTCGTAGTCTGCGTAATTTCTTGTGACCGTCCTCCTGCTATAAAGCACTTCGTCAAATCAACTATGTACTCTCTCATCTATATCCAAATGATTCCAAATGCATATAGATGGTCATGTGCACAGTACACACACACACGTCTAGTAATGTTTAGAGTTTAGACATGTTAGTATATTAATGTACGTATATTATATTATATAACATTATGTAACTGTATAACATGTATAACTATATTATATTATCTACATATTAAAATCGATCTATATTTGAATCTATAGGATATTACACAACAAATTACATTAGATTACACTACACTACACTACATTACATAAAAGAAAAAACACACACACACAACCACATTGAATGTCTCGACCTGAGGCGAGATGAACGCACTCATTGGGCGAACACCATGAATGTGCAGACCGAGGCTTTCGACTCAGAGATGACCAGAGATTGACATCGAAAGTCGGCTGCATCCAATGACATGACACCTGGTGAGCATATGCACCTAACTTCAACAAAACCATGCAGAATCAAAGACATGATGAGTTCTCTGCTTTGCAAGAATCAATATAGTAGCAACATGCAACAACTGGTAATTTCTTCAGGTGCAGCCCTTGATTGTGCAACCGCTGGAGATGAATCAGCAGCGGCGTCATATGATTGGAGGGTGGCCCAGAGTGCATCTGAAAAGATGGACATCCCCAAGATAGATAAATCGGGATGATTAACCCAGCAGATTTGGGGCATTTACAGCAGATTCGGGGTATTTACTGGTTCTCCGTTTGTTAGTTGATATATATATATAAATATGATCCAGCAGTGCTTCAGGATGATCACTGGATCCGGCAGACTCCACAATTCTGATCTGGTGCTCGACAATTGCATTGTCACAGGCAGGTGTGGGCCAAAATAGCTACAGACTTTGAAGCCCATCTCATCCTCAACATGGTATGGAATATATATATATATATTATATTCATAATTCAATATATATTGATATATACTGTAGCATACAAACAATATATTGTATAAATGCAATATATATATATTAATACAATATGATTATATATGTAGAATAGTAACTACTACATGTATACATATATATATATATTTATATACACATTATAACTATGACTGTAAATGAAATACAAATGTGTGTTCTTGTTCCATTCCATTCCCAAGTGGCTGCTCGGCTTCAACCTGACTTCCATGGACCACGGAAGGATCCCTATGCCTTTCTGGCTCGTCACGAGTACTGCTGCGAGGGGGCATGCTTACTGGATCCGTCAAGAGCCGAGAATTGGTTGAGAATGCTAAGAAGTTGGTTGAGAGTTGGTTGAATTTTCAGGGAACTTTACAGGAAACTTTAGAGGACACCACCAAAGACACCGAGAAGACAACTTTCTTGGCTTAAAACCATAGTGTCGTTTCAATTTTCCCTGAAGCGAAATCAATGAATTCAGAATTGCCATTTGTAAAGCCACTTGGTTCAGACATTTTCGGATGGCACCCACAGTTGAAACAATAGGAACTCAGATATGAGTTTTTTCTGGGTCACAAGGAGCACGTGCAATCCCTTAATCAAGGTGATGCGTGACGCAAGCTCAATCTTTGAGAATCATGGCGGTATGCTTACAGGGCAGGCGGAGAACCAATGCTGGATGGTGTTGAAGTTTGTTGAATCAGGTTGAAGCGCAGATCCCCAAATATCTGAAGACAGGACAAACTAACAGCATCCTTCATTTATTCCGACTTGACATTTTTGAGCGTTGAATACGTAGTAAATGATGGTTCACAGACAGTGCCAAAGCTCTGGCCTTGTGAGCCAACACCAACATGATTTTAAGACTCTGAAGGTGCTGGAGATTTGATCCGAGAGCTGATTGGACTCCCTAGCCGTCAGCTGGTGCTGCTGGTGCTGTGCCAATGGCGCACACAGCACAGCATTTGGCCATTGAACAGAGGTGATCGCCCGCCGGCTTTGCACCTGGCCTTTGAAGTGATCGCACTTGTCCTATGTGTCAGTTGCAAATTTGGCCACAGCTGTAGCAGCTCATTGTCAAGACTTCTTTCAAGCCCATTGCCTTTGGAGTTCATCAGAGTTCGGTTTGCCCAGCACTGCATACCACTATTGAACATTGATGGATGTTGTAGTACAGTACCAAAGCGATGGTGATTTGGGCCACAGCGCTTTGGCGCGCCACAGCAGCTGTTTGGCTCGAGCCGCGGCAAATTGATTCAGATCTCACTCTCCAAAGGCTTCACATTTCCGATTCAGCAGGCATCAACAAACCACAGCAGTGCTTAACGCCAGAAAAAAAGATGCCTCGTGGAGGGCATATGGGTCGCGGCCCCGGCAGGTTGCAGTTCCCGTAAATTCATAAAACATAAAGCCGTCCTTTCCTTGGTGATCCTCTGCGTATTTTCTAATTCTCCAGAGGCTCAGACACGACTCTAGTGATATCTCAGAGAAAAAGCTTGTTGCTGGTTGCTGCACTAAGGAATATGGCGCCCGCTGCCGAAGGACATTTTCAAGTCTAGGTGGAAGCGCTTCTTCAAACGATGCTACCGGCCAGACCCTTGATGTCATGGTCATGAGCCGTCAGTGAAGGTCAGCCAGTCCAGGGATGAATGCTCCAATTGAGCTGAGTTAAACAGGGACAGTGACAAGCACAAAGGAAAAACAGCAGTGGTCCGAGACAGGAGTGTCTATCATCCTGCATTCCCAGCCGGTCTTTGAACTTTAAAACTATTGTGGTTTCCCCATGGTGTTCATGGATATTTAGGGATATTCCTCTGGGATTGTTCCATGTTCCCAGCTTTGGGTGAGGCCACGGACTGGGGGCAATGCGCTGGATCGAGCACCACCCCACATCCAGGCCTGGGCGCTGCCGTTCAAGCCCCTTTTCAGCAGCTTTCAGCTTCAAATACATCAGGCAGACCACATGGATGGCGTGCCGTCACCATGGAAGCTGCATATGCGGGAAGCGGAAAAGGGGACCTACTTTCGAGACGAAAGAATTGCCGGGATCCACTACAGATGCTCGGCCTGAAAGTCCTGCCAAATTGATCCAAATTGACATTTGCTGCAGCTTCTGCAGTTTTTCTCCAAGCCGTTCAATACACTAGGTGGTTGCCTCACTGCTGTATGATGCTGTACGATGCTGTATGCAACCTTTTACTTTTATCTGAGGAAATAATCAGGAACGGTACCTTAGGCCCGTCACGGGTCGGCCAGTGACTGCCAGTGACTGCCAACTGCTCTGAGAAACGTGTCTGGGGAACCAACAAACCGCTTACGTTTGGGTACTTCTGTCATTCTGCGAAGATGTGAAGAAGGAATGAAGCTCTCAGTTCGTTGTGGAAACATGTGGAAATACTGTGCGATTCTGTAGTTACTGTATTATATCATATTATATCTAATGTATTACACTGTAGCTGGTTGGGCAGTAATTGCCGACCACTGCGATGTATTTTTCCATTGTTTCCCACCAGGCCAGCGATACACTGCACCGAAGGTATCGCGTCAGATGTAATCCTTCGCAGTCACTTTCTCAGACATTCGTCCAGATAAAACCTCCATGTGCCAGGGTTGAAACATGGGTTGTTTTCCCATATTCTGGGATGGTCATCAATCCAGAAGGATATATATATATATATGATGTATGTTACAATGTATAATTCTATATAATTCTATATAGCCATAAGGATTCCCGGGATGGATCATTTTTCCCATCAGAAAGCATCAGAAACCCATTTCCCCTGAGGTCTGGATCCCGGGCGTCACAACTACATGTCTTTGACCGGTTTTGGCAAGCTGGAGGCCGCCTGGATGCACATCGACGGGACCAAGGACAGTGAAAAGCTGACGGGCTGCCGGTGTTGACTCGACATGTTTGTTCAGGCTAGAGCGATGACTAGATGGTAGATGATGGTAGTGGATTGTTGTGGATTTCAGTCTTTGATGTTGAGGCTGACATTGATGTATATTTATACATATGATGATTATATATATATATACATATACATATCGATACGGTGACGTGGACCACAAAAATGAAGAAGACGCCAACGCTGCTAATTGCAATCATGGTAGCGGCAAGACGAAATTGACGGCTCCTCATGTGTTTCTCGATATCGTTGATTAACATCGAGGAGGATGGGACCCAACCTGCCACTCCGTGGGAAGATTCTGCTCCTAACCCAGAGATGCAGGATGAGCAAAGCATGTCCTATCAATGGCCATTTTGACCAATCTGAAGAATTTTGAGGCATTTACTGCAAAGCCAATGTCAAGGAGTCAAGGCAAAAGGTTCTGCATGGAATCTCCAAGGTGCCTGAGCACATTCTCAACGAGATGAAGCCATTGATGGGCAGAAAAGAAACTTGGGAAGTCATCAAAACTCGTCCAAACTTCTTTGTGGTTTGCCGCCTCAGAGTGTACTGTGGATTTGCAGCCATTTGTTTAACAGTTTACAACAGTTTAACATTTAAGTCATTGGTTCAGTCAGTTGTTCAGTCCATGTCTATATACCTTTTCCGAACTGCGAGGTCAGAAAACTGAGGCAGCTCTGCGAGGAGCAGGACGATCAAACTGACGTCTTGAACACATTACAACATCTTCCAACACATATATTGTACATAATATACATGTGTATATATATATTTACACATATGTATATGTTATGTATTGAACATTTCTATATTTATATCTATATTTATAGTTATCTATCTTTATACCTATATTCATATCTATATTTATATCTGAATCTATATCTATATACCTATATTGATATCTATATCTGAATCTATATCTATATATCTATATCCATATCTATCTATATGTATGTAATGTATGTTATGTTATGTCAATGTAATTTAATGTAATTATGCAATGTAATGTAATGTTATGTTATGTTATGTATGTATTTTTGGTAGTGTAATGTAATGTAATGCAATACAATGCAATGTAATGTAATATAATTTTATATATTGCTATGTAATGTCATGTTATGTAATGTGATGTAATGTTATGTAATGTAATGTTATGTATTGTATGTAATGCATGTAACGTATGAAATGTATGTATGTAATGTCATGTAATGTCATGTAATGTCATGTAATGTCATGTAATGTGATGCAATGTAATGTAATGGTATGTTATGTAATGTCATGGTATGGTATCCTATGGTATGCTATGTTATGGTATGTAATGTAATGTAATGTAATGTAATGTATGGTATGTTATGTCATGGTATGGTATGGTATGGTATGTTATGGCATGGTATGTTATAGTATGCTATGTTATGGTATGTAATGAAATGTAATGTAATGTGATGTAATGTAATGTCATGGTATGGTATGTTATGGTATGCTATGTTATGGCATGTAATGTAATGTGATGTAATGTTATGTAATGTTATGGTATGTTATGTTATGTCATGGTATGGTATGTTATGGTATGCTATGGTATGGTATGTAATGTAATGTAATGTGATGTAATGTAATGTCATGGTATGGTATGTTATGTCATGGTATGGTATGTTATGGTATGCTATGTTATGGTATGTAATGTCATGTAATGTGATGTAATGTAATGTAATGCAATGTAATGTAATGGAATGTAATGGAATGTAATGTAATGTATGTACGTACGTACGTACATGTATAGATTCTTCGATATTACAAAAATGTGTAAGGGCACCTGGGGGTCACTGAGTTCTTCCTTTTAGATTGCAACAGTTTGGAGAGTGCAGGAGATCGTCTTCAAGGACGGTATCGCTGGTCTCAGAGATCCCAGGCAGCTTGCGGAACTTTATTGCGTCCATTGATGAAAATACTTGCGTTGCCAGCATTTCTATGCACAGGCAGAGAGCTGGAGCGGAAGGTCCCGATCGAGGAAACTTTCCATATGTGGATGTCATTCTGCCATGTTTCGGCGCAGATCCGTAAGGGCGTGAGAGCAGCGAGCATGGAGGTTTCGTATCGCTGCACGCCACAAGGATCCAGAAGGTATAGTATATAGTAGCGACCGACAATCACTTAGAACATCTTTTTTTTTTTTTTGAGTACACTGGGAGCTATGTTTAAGAACATCCGAAAGTCCCCACAGTTAGAACATCCCAAGACATTCCAACATACATATATTTGTAAATATCTATTGACATCACTATATTTATATGAACACAAAATTAACAATCACCTGTGGAGACCCCCACACTTAGAACATGCCAGTTGTATGCTATCGTAAGGGAAACTGATGTTGATGCTAAGATGCCGCCACCGCATATGCATATGTATGTGCAAAAAATACAAGGCCGTTTCGCAGTTGAATTCCAAGGGGGTATTTAGCATTAGCGGCTGAGAAGCTTCCCCCTAAATAATCAAAGTTGGACCTTAATGGAATAAACTACAATCTTCCATTTCAAAATCCATGAATTTCCCTTTTAAAACCTTATCAAAATATTGCCCGAAATTGGATTCCGAAACTTTCCTAATATTGAAATCAAAAACATATTGTTTGAATAGAAACTACTTTTCCATGTCAGAAGCCATCAAACTAAATCCTTAAAAAATCGAATGAACATATTGCCAAAAGTCGGATTCTAAAGCCATCCCGCAATAAAACAACTTTTCTTGTGAAGGATGAGAGGTTGCAGCTGAAAAATGCAATCGAAATGAGTTTCAAGTCTCAGGTCTCGTAGAGTAGAGGGGTTCACCAAGGTTCTCCAATAGGTGGGGGAAGCCCCACACTTAGAACATCTATCTCCGCTTTGGGTTCCTGAAACTTTTCATGTCTAGACAAAAGGTTTTAGAGTCAGCAGCAGTTGAAATGAAAGAAAGAGCTGAAGGATATTCAAATGCAGTTAAGGGATTTGGCAAGTATACAAATTCAGCATCAGGTGGGGGGAAGCTCACACTCAGAACATCTATCTCACCATGAGGTTATGCCAAACAACTTTTTTCTTAAGGGTGAAGGGTTGGAAGCGGAAAGTAAAGTTGAAATAAGTTTCAAGTCTCAGGTCTCGTAGAGTAGAGGGGTTCAACAAGGTTTCCCAATAGGTGGGGGAAGCCCCGCACTTAGAACATCTATCTCCCCTTGGGTTCCTGAAACTCTTCATGTCTAGACAGAAGGCTTTCGATCCAGCAGGAGTTGACATGAAAGAAAGAGCTGAAGGATGTTGAAATTTAGTTAAGGGATTGGGCAAGTCTACAAATTTAGCATCAGGTGGGGGAAGCATCCTCAGTTGCAGCTAGCCCCACAAATGAATACAAGACCCTTACAAATAAGAAAATAAACGTTTGACTAGATAATAAAGAATAATAGTTACATAAGTGTATGTGCATATGCATATATATATATAACATTAGTTTTTTTTACTTCTTAATCAATATCATTTTTTGTTTTCAATGCAAATAGATAAATCAATTCACTTACAGCATACATGATGTGATGTTCTATGTGTGGGGCGTTGCCCATGGTCCCTTGGTAGCATTTCAAAGGCATTCACCCAGTAGAGAATAGCATGGACAGTGACATTATGTGTTGGGAACCAGGGTCAGTTGCAAGGAACCTCACACTTAGAACATCCATCAACCTACATATAGGATGTTCTAACTGATTTTGCTCTGGATGTTTTAAGTGTGGGGGTCTCTGGATGTTCTATGTGTGGAACTATGTGGAACTTCAAAATTTTGGAAAAATGATGTTCTAAGTGATTGTTTGTCACTATAGACATATTATGTCATATTTACACCCAAAAAACAGGGTGGCAGAGATATGCAGCGACCATACGTATTCCAGATTTTGCAACCCGTGTTGGGCACCTGAGGCAGACCTTCCATGGGGTCCTTGAGTTTGGTTCACGTCATCAAAGGACATACCTCCTATTCCATTGTTCCAGGCTTTGTTTGCTAGTCGTTTCGTTGCCAGGAACAGGCCAGTCTTCTGGATGAATTGACCCTTGATGAGATTCTCAGGACTGAAGAGCAGATCTATGCCATAACATGCCATAACTGTCTTTATGATTTAGATTCCCAGCTGTGGTTTTGGAAGACACTTCGACATTGTTCCTCACAAGATTCATGCTTTTCGTGCCATTTCAGATCTACTGCAAGGAGACAAGTAAACCAGTGATTGCCTCGCATCTTGCGCTGTTTGCCATGATATAGTAATACAGCCAACGGATCAGTCGCTCGAATGTGTGCCCGATGAATATGAACGCATGGACAGCTAGAATGGACAAGCACTGTGCTGCCAGGATCAGACACAAGACCAATAGCCGGCGACATCCAAAATGGAAAGAGGTCCAGTATTGGTTCAAAAGATGGTCTGATGCTTAGCCTTTGACCGTGATTCAACGGAAGATGTGCAAGATTGTGAAGAACATGATTCTGTCGTATTCTGTCATTCATTGTCCTTCTGTGGGGTTCAATCTGAGGCACGGGATATATCTCCGAAAGAGGGCCATCAAGAGGGCAGAACTTAAAGAAGCTCAGGGAATCGCTAAGAAGGCAGGGCTTTGGAGACTTTGTGGATGGGATCTTCTCAACTTCGACATAAGGAAACTTGATAAACAGTTTCAGGCATGGGCACTTCAAAAATCATGATGATGACGATCATGATGGATAGAGTTTGATGTTGGTTGCTGTATTTGGAGCGGATACAGACAATGAAACATGAGCATCATTCCGACTGATTACATCTAATTACCTGTGAAGTGCTGATGCTCATGATTTTGTCATCCACACGGACATAGTATTGATATATGGACTGCTTGCCCAAGTCGTGATGTTTTTGACACAATCCCGAGTCTCCCAGTCTGCGAGGCCTTGGGCGCAGCTTGAGAGCAGTCGCAGTCAGTTCTGATTTGAAAATTGAGTCCGAGCTGGGTGCAGATGCAAAAAGACCAACCGCTGGAGCAGCTTTTGCGCCATTGAAACATGGCAAGCATGGCAAACTCGCGTTTTGAAGTTGTTTGGCTTCCTGAACTAGTCAATGTCTAGTATTGGGAGAATTTCAGTGTTTGGGCAAATCCAGGATTTGGCCAAAGCAGCTGGAAGCAGAACGCTAGATCCCAAGGCCAAGTTCATGAAAGGCAACAGACTGGTCAAATTCCTCTATGATTTCTTGTGGTTTCTTGGTGCCAAGGAATTGAAGCTTTTGAACTCTTCAGCGCTTTTTGGAGGCGCGTTGAGCAAAGCCAAATCATCGCAGCTGCCTCAGGTCTCCGGTCGGGTCTCGCGGCGAATTTTTGTCGCAGGATGAAAGATGTTGATTTTACTGTACTGTAGATGCTGGTACTAAGGACACACTCGTCGGTGAAGGTGTGTGCCCTGGAACACTGGGCGTATTGGGACCTGGATGATGGATGAATATGGATGAATAATATTGAATACATATTGAATACTGATGTATTAGCCTGTGACGATTTCACTGCAGCATGACAGCACAAGCAGAGCTGAGTTATTCCCGACCTCAAGCGGGGCTACGATACTGCCGGAGCAAACCGGGAGGATCAGCAGAGGTGAGGACCACTTATCATTGAGAACACACCGCAAAACCATGCAAAACCCGTGAATTTGGACATGTTTTGAAGGAATCATTGTGATGGATGCGAATCAAAATGAATCAACATGAATCGAAACCTTCAAGAATTTGCACAGGCTTTTAGAGATGAGCCAGGAAGTCCGAGTGCAGGAGGTTCTGACTGTTTTTCACAATGATTCACATGTGATGATTTTGTTTTGAAACGATGCTGTACGAAGTTCTTGCCCGTGCCAGTTCCAAGATCGCTTCAACAGTTCCGTGCAAGCGGACATGTACCGGATTCTCTGTGAGGCGGCTTGATGTGTCTCGTTCATTTAAGTGACAATCAAGATTCCAGGATTTCTGAAATGCGCACAGGTTGAACTTACATCCTTTAGTTGTTTTCGATAATGATAAAGTAGATCAAAACACACTTTTTGCAACCATTTTGCAACTATTTTCAAGGTTTTTTCTTTTCCATATTTCTTCTGTCATTTCCCCTTCAGAACGACACTGCCATCCCAGTGCTGTCGGAGAAGGCCTGTTTTCGTCGGCTGTGTTTCGAATTTTGCAGGACCTGTCAGTGTCAGTTGTGTCAGTGTTATTCCATGATATTGCAACTGTACGATATTCGAAGGAAGTTTGGAGGTCAAACTTCCGACAATATGGACAGATGAAAAGCAGAGCAGGGAAGGAGACGCACTTCTAACCCTTACAAGCCAAATTGCTAACCTCAAGAGATCTTTGCCTAACCCCAACAAGGTAGATTTTGCTAACCACAAAAAAATTATTGACCCTTATATTTTCACTAACCTCAATATTGTGTATTTCACTAACCACAATATTGTGCATTTCACTAACCTCTAAGCCTAAAAGCAGCAGTCCTAAGGAATAATGTGATGAAATCAGTTTGCAACAACAAAATGTTCCTTGATATATATATATATATATATCTGGACACAAAAATTTTGCATCCAAAACCCCGGGGTTTGGCGTTTTGGCTCCAGCAAGAAGCGACGAAGGTCGTTTAGAACTTGCCCTAGTGGACGCGACCGACCGTCCCAGCCATCCCGCCAGTCCCCCACGGGCGCGCACCAAACCTACTCCACAGCCGCGCCCCAGCACCCTCCTTTCCCAGGCCCCCAATCAAACCTTGGCTCTTAGCATCCAAACTTGGCCTTTAACATCCACATTTTGGCCTTAACATCCACATTTTGGCCTTAACATCCAAATTTTGGTCTTAACATCCAAAATTTGGCCTTAACATCCAAATTTTGGCCTTGACATCCAAATTTTGGCCTTAACATCCAAATTTTGGCCTTGACATCCAAATTTTGATCTTAACATCAAAATTTTGGCCTTTGACGGGAAACCTGGAAATTAGACTGGAAACCTGGAAATTTGACGGGAAACCTGGAAATTAGACTGGGAACTTGGAAATTTGACGGGAAACCTGGAAATTTGACGGGAAACCTGGAAATTTGATGGGAAACTTGGAAAACCTGAAAATTTGACGGAAACCTGGAAATTTGACGGGAAACCAGGAAATTTGACGGGAAACCTGGAAATTTGACGGAAACCTGAAAATTTGACGGAAACCTGGAAATTTGACGGGAAACCTGGAAAACCTGGAAATTTGACGGGAAACCCGGAAATGGAAATTTGACGGAAACCTGGAAATTTGACGGAAACCTGGAAATTTGACGGGAAACCTGGAAATTTGACGGGAAACATCGAAATTTGACGGAAACCTCGAAATTTGACGGAAACCTGAAAATTTGACGGGAAACTTGGAAATTTGACGGGAAACCTGGAAAACCTGGAAATTTGACGGGAAACCAGGAAATTTGACGGGGAACCTGGAAATTTGACGGGAAACCTGGAAATTTGATGGGAAACTTGAAAAACCTGAAAATTTGACAGGAAACCTGGAAATTTGACGGAAACCTGGAAATTTGACGGAAACTTGGAAATTTGACGGAAACCTGGAAATTTGACGGGAAACCTGGAAATTTGACGGGAAACCTCGAAATTTGACGGAAACCTGAAAATTTGACGGGAAACTTGGAAATTTGACGGGAGACCTGGAAAACTTGGAAATTTGACGGGAAACCAGGAAATTTGACGGGGAACCTGGAAATTTGACGGGAAACCTGGAAATTTGATGGGAAAGTTGGAAAACCTGAAAATTTGACGGGAAACCTGGAAATTTGACGGAAACCTGGAAATTTGACGGAAACCTGGAAATTTGACGGAAACCTGGAAATTTGACGGAAACCTGGAAATTTGACGGGAAACCTGGAAATTTGACGGGAAGCTGAAGGAAACTTCGAAATCTGAATGGAAACTGAAGGAAACCTGGAAATTTGACGGGAAACCCGGAAATTTGACGGGAAACCTGGAAATTTGACGGGAAACCTGGAAATTTGACGGGAACGGGAAACCTGGAAATTTGACAGGGAACCTGGAAATTTGACGGGGAACCTGGAAATTTGACGGGAGTGGCCAGAAACTCAAGCTACGCAGATGATTCTTGACTGCCGCCTGCTTTGTCGGTTGCCCACTTAGCTGCAAGTAGCAACTGCCTTCTCAGTTTGGTCCTTGACCTCCTAGTTTGGATCCAACCAAGGAAAAAGGAGAGGAACAAAAAGGAAAAAGGAGAGGAACAAAAAGGAAAAAGGAGAGGAACAAAAAGGAAAAAGGAGAGGAACAAAAAGGAAAAAGGAGAGGAACAAAAAGGAAAAAGGAGAGGAACAAAAAGGAACAAAAAGGAAAAAGGAGAGGAACAAAAAGGAAAAAGGAGAGGAACAAAAAGGAAAAAGGAGAGGAACAAAAAGGAAAAAGGAGAGGAACAAAAAGGAAAAAGGAGAGGAACAAAAAGGAAAAAGGAGAGGAACAAAAAGGAAAAAGGAGAGGAACAAAAAGGAAAAAGGAGAGGAACAAAAAGGAAAAAGGAGAGGAACAAAAAGGAAAAAGGAGAGGAACAAAAAGGAAAAAGGAGAGGAACAAAAAGGAAAAAGGAGAGGAACAAAAAGGAAAAAGGAGAGGAACAAAAAGGAAAAAGGAGAGGAACAAAAAGGAAAAAGGAGAGGAACAAAAAGGAAAAAGGAGAGGAACAAAAAGGAAAAAGGAGAGGAACAAAAAGGAAAAAGGAGAGGAACAAAAAGGAAAAAGGAGAGGAACAAAAAGGAAAAAGGAGAGGAACAAAAAGGAAAAAGGAGAAGAACAAAAAGGAAAAAGGAGAGGAACAAAAAGGAAAAAGGAGAGGAACAAAAAGGAAAAAGGAGAGGAACAAAAAGGAAAAAGGAGAAGAACAAAAAGGAAAAAGGAGAGGAACAAAAAGGAAAAAAAACAAATCACCTAGTAAGGTTAGTGGTTAGGGTTAGTACACCTAGTAATGGTTAACAATTTTTTATTTAAGGGTTAGATTCCCCATGGGGTTAGAAAAGCATGCGTGTAATGGTAATGAATTTGCAGTATAAGGGTTAGAAAGGCAACTTAATATAAGGGTTAGGCGTGGTCGTGGCAGCAGGGAAGAGGCAGAGAGAAGAGAAAGACTAGAAGAAAGAAGAGTAGAAGAGAAAGAGTAAGAAGAAAGAAGATGCAGATGCGTGAAAAGGTAGGAAAGTCGCGAAACACTGTGTTTTTTCCAATGATTTGGGCTCCGGAGGGTCGAAAAGTAGGCTCGCTAAACTAAAGCGGCGGGTGCGGAGCCAGCTGGCCAGATGAGAGATGAAAAATTGCACGCCGTTGTGGTGCGAAGCACATTTCCAAGTCAAAATGTACAAAATACACCATTCTCGGACCACTTTTGGAAGTTGAGATGTCGAAAAAGTGCACGCCGTTGTGGCGCGAAGCACATTTCGAAGTCAAAATGTACAAAGCACACCATGGTCGGACCACTTTTGGAAGTTGAGATGTCGAAAAAAAGCACGCCGTTGTGGCGCGAAGCACATTTCGAAATCAAAATGTGCAAAACACACCAGGTGCGGACCACTTTTGGCAGTTGAGATGTCGAAAAAGCGCACGGCGTTGTGGCGCGAAGCACATTTCAAAGTCAAAATGTTAAAAAGACCAGGGGTTCGGACCACTTTTGGAGGTTCGGATGTCGAAAAAGTGCATGCGGTTGTGGCGCGAAGGACATTTCGAAGTAAAAATGTTCAAAACACTAGGGGTTCGGACCACTTTTGGAGGTTCAGATGTCACTTCGCTTCACTAGACTACACTACAGGACATTACACTGCACTACACTCCAGTACACTACATTACACTACACTACACTCCAGCACACTCCACTACACTAAATTACACTACACCACACTACATTACACTGAATGACACTGCAACACAGATAGACAGGTAGACAGCTAGACAGCTAGACAGATAGACAGATGAAAGGGAGAAAGAGATAGATAGATAGATAGATAGACAGACAGATAGATAGATAGATAGACAGACAGACAGATAGATAGATAGATAGAAAGATAGATAGATAGACAGATAGATAGATAGGTAGATAGATAGATAGATAGATAGATAGATAGATAGATAGATAGATGCATAGATGCATAGATACATAGATACATAGATGCACAGATACATAGATACATAGATACATAGATAGATAGTCAGAGAAAGCGAGAGAAAGAGAGGAGACCTCAAGCACCTTTCGGTCCATCAGTGGCTTCGCTCTGCCATCCCTGATTCACAACCACCAACCTCTCCTATAGGCAGCCTATAGGTTTCCTATTTTTGAAACTTCCGCCGCCGCCTTGTGCGGTACTACTGGTAAATTATGTTAATGTAGCCTGTTCTTGTACGTACCGTATTGCATATTATTGTACCACACTCCTGATCTTCTATCATGAAATGCCTTGGACGTTGACTTTCTGCATGTCACCGGTCTTTCTTTGATGCCCTGTGGAAGTCTGAAAGCTGTTGCTGTATGAAATTGTGCAGTTATTGCCGTTCTTTGCTCGTGGGCTCAACAGCTTTGAGGACAAGGTGGGCATTGTGAATTTTTCCCATATTTTTTGCTACTAAGATTGCCTCCATAGCCTCGGTTTTCTGCATCTTCTGTATCCTTCTGTGTCATTTGTGCAGTGTGACTAATTACTCGTAGGTTGACTTAGTGTCACCCGAATCCTGACTCCATGCATGCCATATATATATATTTATACATATATTTCATATTTACGCATATTCATACCATCTTCCTGGATCCTCTTGAGAGCGTGCAGGTGGCCAACACGCCGATGGCAATGCCCGGTTTTGCTGATATCTCAGTTGCGGTCACCATCGTGCAAACCGGCATGTTTTTTCAGCCCAGCTGGAGGATCGTCTCATGTACGACCTTCGCATATCTTCGCATTACATCTCAAAGCTGAGCAAAGCTGAGACACAGTCTTGGAAACATTTGGAAACGGTGAAGTTTGAATGGTTCCCGCATTCCACATATTCCCCACATGTCATCATATTTCCACATCCAGAGCCTTGTGAACAGCTGCAGTTCGCATCAGTCTCTTGGTGACTCAGTGACTGTGCCATGCTGTGCCACGCTGTGCCAGTCCATAGCCTTCGTGTTGGTCCTCGCCCTGAGTGGAGCGCTAAAGCTACCATCTCTGGACGAAAGTGTTGAACTGGACCGCACGGTGGAAAGAGCACCAGTCGTCTTGCTGGCGAGGGTTGATAAATATGTTGATGTTAAATCTGGTGCCATCATGTGCCATCATTTCAAGATATTTCAAGCATTTTGAATCATTTTGTTGGTGTATGATTCAATTATCATGTGAGATTCTCTTTGGGTGACGGACAGCCAGGCCGAAATGGTGTCTGCACCACCGCCTACTCCCAAGCCTTTTGCCGAACAAGCTCGTCCCCCGCCGGTCGCTGCTGACCCGGCTCCGGCTGACGACGATGACGCAAAGTTTGTGACTCCTTGAAAAGTGATCTTTGCTTTTTCTTGCTTTTACAATCCTACAAAATCCTACACATATCCAAAATTATCCAAACATGTAGCTGTCAACTAGCCTTTTTCATCCTTTTTCTTAATCTTAGTCAATCGTTGTGCAGTGCTACGTTTGCCTGGCTTTGACATGCGGACATGCCACCGCAGCAATTCTTTGAGCTCACCCCAACAAAACCCGATAGTTTCATTTGCGCCTTTGGGCGAAAAGATGCGGATATTTGTGAGAGACCTGCACTGCTAGAGTGGCTTTGCTGTGACGGAATTGTATATCTCTTTCGATCACAAGAGCGGACTGCAAATTTATTCAGAATCTTCTTGCCTGGTATTGTTGTGTGGCTGAGCTTTTCTGCAAGGAATCTCTATGAAAAGAATTGACAGTCACAGACATCATGAGAGATTCTGGACTGCCGGATGGGATGTACGAAGTGTCAGACGGCTGTGCAACTGGTCATTAATCGGGCTTGCATTGACTACAAGGGTTTTGTATATGTACTGTATATTATAGCAAATTGCCACAGGACTGTCTAACGGCAAACAGCAAGGTGAATGCCTGCCTTTCACAACGCACATTATAAAGATATTGAAGCAAACTATCTACAAATGCTTTTGCAAGACATTGCAAGATGGTTTGAACACCTAATGATACCTAATGACTAGATAGACAAAACCAAAGCACTGCACATATCAATCGTGGTCCAGCCACTTGGATTTGTAGCTTTGTGGGCCGACCTTCGCATGGAGGTGAAGCTTTGTACCCTGCTATTTTGCCAATATCATACTGTGATTACTGTGTCACAGTATGGAATTTCACGTCCGGGTCGTTGAGCATCGCTGCCAGGTAGGTGGCCAAGGTGCTTTGGCACATTTTCGGAGGCGCCCTGGTGACCCGGTGCAGCCATCGGCGTTTCTGCCTATGATTTGCCCTCAGGCCGCTGACATTTGACGGGCACAGCCCGGACTTTGATGTGGAGGCGCACACGGTGCTGAACTCACCTTGTGACGTACAGCCGCGATCATCAAGATACTGGTGAGAATGACCGTTTTCTTCATTGCAGTATTGGTACCAGACAAAACCATAGGGCATGCCCAAAATCAGAACCAACCAGATCAAAACCTGTTGGATAAGGTGACATGCTGTTGCTATTTGCATCTCTTGTCTGTTAGGCAGGCAATGTAGACAGAGACCGTGCGCGTGATGGCTTGGACCTCCAGAGTCATGTTGACATGACCGCCTTATCTGAGAGCTGTGGCATTTGGTATACAGCAACATACAGCAACAGGTCACAACAGCCACTCCTCTGTTCGAGCTTCTTCACCGCATGGCCGAGCAAGTCCAACAAGTCCAGGTGCGCTGAATGAAGTGGAAAGCAGTTTCAACATGTGGTTCAAACCTAGAAAGTATATATATATATGAAAATATAGAAGGCCAATCGCCAAAGCAGCTGCCGCCCTGATCTTAAGTCTCTCACCAGTGCTTGTCCACACATTCCTGATCAACATGATAAAACTTCAGACCCTCTGAAAAAAGTGAAACAAGAGAACGAAGGTGGACTAGTGTATCATAGTGGATGCTACACACCCACGTGGCAACACATTCATGTCCCTGCTTTCTTTATAATCCTTGCTCACCAAGGATGCCAATACCTCGCCAAGCATCAAATGCAAGGCCATCAGCTGGAAGACAAAGGCCATCAGAAAGATGAGTTCAAGCCTCAAAGAATTGCATACGCAAATATATGCAAGGCTGGCCCAACCGGCTGGCGAGGCGACGGCTGAAATATTTCATGGGCATCTTTTTTTTCAGATTGAACATATTTGGCAATGACATGTAAGGCACGCCGCGACGCAGGTAAATTGCTCTTGTGATCTTAGAGTGTCCCACAATGTCCCAAAGTTCAAGTGCTGAAAAGGTCTGAAAAGAGTTGCTGATGAAATCAACAAAAGGACTCCTGATTGAAATCATAGAAGATCATAGAAGACTCAAGAATAGGCCGCAGGAGTCCACTGAGTGGATCTGAGTGGAGTCCACTGGGAATCACAACTTGCCAATGTTCTGCAGGCCGTCGTGGCCGCTGCATTGTCGGGAGCTGGGAGAAGGCTACCTGGTTTGGGGGTCCGGATCTGAATTGCTGGACTTCCTGAGGCAATATTGGAAGTGATGCATAGTGATGCAGAATATGCAAAGCAGTGTCCACAAAGTGTCCACAATTCCATTCGAAGTCCAACACTTTTGAGTCTGGTGGGGCTTTGAGATTCCTTTCCCTCCTTTCAATACGTACTATAATTCAATAGTAATTTACCAAGGCGGCTTCGCGTCGAGCTCCCGCAGTGAAGCGGGAAGTGGACGAGGCGCTATTGCATACCTCAGCTGACGACAAGTGACTGGTCCAGCGGTTGACGGTTGCTACGACTGCTGCAGGATTGTTGACTCCCATTTCTGCATCTTGCTATATACAAGTTACAAAGAATCAGATATTGCAGCCGCTCTGATCACGATCAAGAACGGCTAGAAAGGATATGGGCAATGAATGGCAATGAGGCAATGAGTATCAGTAAATGACAAAACCGCAGAATCTTACTGCCAACAACGCAGGTCAGAAGAGTCCTGGATGACACGCTGCAAAAAGATGGGGTTTGCTTCCAAGCTCTGGAACCACCAGTAAGGTCACCAGTACCATTCAAGACAAGGCACACTTTGACAAGCACCTTGAAATGCCTGTGATATCCTGTGATGAATATCTCGAGGAATGCTATGCTGTTTGCATGGCTGGTGGCCTTGATTTGGCCGCACGCTGAGGATCGAACGGACCTGGATCATGCCTTGATCTGGTACTGTAGAGTGGTTCAAGTCTGAATGAGCCAAACACTTGAGGCCCGTCTTTCCAAAGCGGCTTTCACGCCCAAGGAGGCAAGATGCTGCTTTCATGGCTAGCATTGGAGGGCTTGAGAGGGTTCTGATTGTGCATGACTAAGCAAAAAAGAAACACTGAACACGAACTAGCATGGTTCAGGTGGCCAGCAAAGCAATGGGCACTACACAAGGTGCTCGCTCAACTTCACTTGATTCATTTTAATTCCTGATGTAGCACAGAAGACGTGAAATCAATGCGGCATTGCAAGCACTAAGTCTCAGAGGATTCTATAGAACACGCATGCTGAACAGGTAGCCAAGTGTCGCTGCCAAGCCAACCTAGCGAGCAAAATGTGATCAGTCTGGCGGAAGTTGTCAATCCAGAGGCGGGAAGGGTAACCTGGATGCTGCTTAGATGCTCATCTAATCTCATCTAATCTCATCTACAAGGGCTAGTAACGGCTAGTACGGACCCATATTTTGTTCTGCCAGGGCGATTTGGGCGATCTTGCTGGACTTGGAGGCGAACTTGATGACAGATGACTTAGATGACAGGTGTTGCACTGTTTGCTAGCAGACTCCTGGAGGACTCCTGGAAAACTCTAGGAGGACTCTAGGTCTGACAGTCAATCCCCAAACATGCTCAACATTGATAAATACCCGTTTTGCCTAAAAGACAACGATCCTCAACGTTGATGCGGTTTACAGATGTCTATAAAGTCTACACCACTCGTCAAGTCTAAGTCTGTCCAAGACTTGATGGACCTTTGCTTGCGAGGTGCAGGCCTTGTCGGGCACTTTGGCACCGGTGGGAACATCGTCCTACATTTGCAGTTTTTTGGGAAGAAGGAGGGATGGACACACAAATAGTTTGCCGGTGATTCCAAGCACGATGTCAGACCAATGTTTTCTTCTTGTGTTTGAAGCATCCAGCATGCAGGACGCATTTGCATTTGGATTTGGGTGCTTTGCGACTGGCTTATAAACAGATGAAACGGAAAGATCGCAGTCCAAGCGCTTTTCAGATCCTTGGCTCGTTGCCCCAAGGTTTGTTGGAGCTTTGAACAGCCTGAAATACTTGCGCTTCGTGAGAAAATGACCCCGCAACCCTGCTGCATATGGCAAGATTGGTCGTCTGAAACTGCTGTTGCAAAGCTCTGTCCGCACGCATGCAGTACCCCTACAAAGATAATGTTAGCCAGGTTGGCTTTGCTTGAGCATGCCCTTTATTAGAACCTCATCGCCCGAAGAAAATGCATGGGATGTTCCATGGACATTTCACGTTGGGTATTCGTAAGCGTGCTTCAACCCAATGCCTCAATGCCTCCTTCGGGACGTCGCTACTTTGAACAGTTTTGAACTTTGTGTGCTGCAGGTTCCTTGTCCGGCCACAGCACAGTTCCTTGGCACGTGAAGGCAAAAAGATCAAAAAGCATTCATGATGATTATAAGGCAATTTATAGGGCACTTGATTCACCAAACTTGTGTCAAGATAAGACAGCCTGCGAATTCTTGTGCCCTCGGCCGAAGGGATCGTGAACGCCAAGACGTGCCAAGGTGGTGGAGTGGAGGAGGAAACAATGCCTTTCGCCCTGAAGAGGAAGAGTCCTGGTGAACCTTGGACCATAACTTGGTGGGGGACTCCTAGACTCCTAGATTCTGCTACTAAAATCTACTAGATAAATCTACCAGAGCCTTTTCTGTCACGAAATCACTTTTTTTGTCTGCTACTCAATAAGTCTACGCGAGCCTTTTCTGCTACTAAATGAATCTACGGGAACCTTTTCTGCTTAAAAAAGTCTACGGGAGTCTTTTCTGCTACACAATTGAGCAACAGCCCCCCAATTAGCAACCGCCCCCCACCCTCGCTTATTGACCCGGTCTCCTCATTGTTTCAACTTTCGGCAGCTCAGGAAGGACCTGATGACATGGGAGAGGATGATGATAGAGATGGCACCGGCGAAGACGACGATGATGCCAAGGAGGCACCGTACTGTAGATCGTTTTTTTTCCGCAAAAGCAGTGCCAAGATTCAGATTCAACACAACATACATGCATACTTTCGGTCGATGATATGCATGTATGTATGATATTACGATAGCTGCTACCGTACACTGCAGAAATACTGTACAGCATACTTGCGTGCTGATCTTTCACAATCATAACTTCCAGTTTGGATCAACCTAAGGCAAGCACAAGCAGTTTCCTCAGCCTTTACAAGTCTGGAACAAGCCGATACTTTGCCTGGAATGTTGTTTCAAGTGCAGGCGAAGTGCATAGTTCAAGACAAGTGTCAACCTGAGATGTGGTGCAGCCTTGTGGAGCACAGAATCTCTGATGATCTTTCTGACAGATCAGCCACGAAGCAAGTATAGAAAACGACAGCAGAACCCAGGATCATTCTGGCAACAAACAGCCCTTTGGAGAAGCTAGCACACTCCTACGTACCTTGCCTTGGAAGTTGCTTCAATTCTGCCTGAAATTTCTTTTTCACTTTGAGACTTCAACCTTTGAGCAAACATTTTTGCAGCTTGATGCAACTTGGCATTCAAGATCTGCTGTGAAAGGCCTTGGCCCAGTCGGTTCGATTGGGAGGCTTTGAGCTTGTGGTTGAGCGCTCTATTGCTGACACAAGGAGCTTAAGAGTTTGAATATGTTTGAATTATCACCCGCTTTCAATTTCTGAGCCTTAGACGTTCCACAGGTTCGACATGCTTCACATGGCAGAGTGCATCTGTCATACATACCAGCTGAATTAGTTTGATACATGTTTCGTTGACACATTTGAAATAGATTTGCTTATTCCTGTAACATCCTGCCTTCATCAATGCTGCAGGAGTATTCCAGAGACACTGGCTGAGACTGGAGAGGTGAAGCTGGAGGCTCTGTCAAGGACAAAGATACTGAAGATGAGTGAAGGTTATAGAAAATGCACAGAAGGAGTTCGTAGCACCGCGTAGCACAACAAAGATGAAGAAAGGACTCAGAATGGCGGATATAACAGCGCACATTTTTTAGTGATGCCTTTTAATGAATCTTTTGGTTTGGACTAAGCAAGACAGAGGGCAAAAGAAGACAAAAAAGCTGCGGCTGCAGGCGCGTGAGCTCTCCAGGCAAATGGGCGAGCTTCTGATGCTGAGGCCTGGGGGGTATTCATTCTGACTCGAATCAGCTGGCCGTGTCATTCACGCTGCGTTGCAGAAGTGTTCAGCGTTGCCAGGTGCGATGTGAATTTGCACACCGATATTCTTGACACCCCGGACATCTTCTGGGATGAGGCGGCCAAGCCTCGATTTGGGTTGTCTGAAAACTTAGAGAAAAGAGGGGACCCCCCCAAAAAAATGATGGTGAAGCGTCATTTTCCTCTATATAACGCCCATACTTGGGGTATACCTTATTTTCAGACAAAGCCATTTAAACAAATGCTGCAACCATGGTTGGAGTATGTTGGCAGTTGACAGAGGGGTGCAACTCTTGGATTTTCAGGAAAGGTTTGAAAAGATCTATGTGGCTTGCCGAACCTATTTGGATATCGTGACTTGGATTTTGACTTGGATTTGAGACTACATGGACGAAACCAAACCACCTCAGTACGGTGTACCATACCCGTCTCACTCTCGTCTTGGCTAGTTAGATGTCATTTTGACATGATGGTTCTTTTGGCAAACCTAGGACAAGCGTGTGGTTCCTCGGATGCATCTTTCAAGGCAAGTCGAATCAACCCAACTTATCGTCATTGCATTTTAGGAGCTCAATGTGCCGTGACGATAAAAATCATGATTTCCTGCTTGCAGCTGGCACCACCCCATTTTCGATTGAGCGGAATATAGCTTCCCCATGTACCACATGTTTTCCACACCAGTGTCCAAGGATATTCTCAACCAGCGTCTGGTTGTTCTCAAGGCTCTGCTTGACAGCTGACTGCCTTAGCAGAAAACATTTCAAGTAGGCACCAGGGGCACCAGCCTCAACAGGACCTCTACGATCTGTTGCAGAACAGCTTGAACGCCGTGCTGGCATCACTTTCTAAAGACGCAGCCATGGCCATTGCTAGCAGTCACTAGCTGCCCAACTATGCCCGGCTTCTCCCTTTACTATCCTTTAAAATCCTTTACTATTTTTACTTCACTTCCCTAGTTATGCAAGTTATGCTGTGAGCCAGGTGAAGCATGGAACTAAATTGGAATGGATTGTCATCATCTTGATCCTGGTGGAGGCATGGATCCAGGGGGAGAGAGGTGACGACATCTGACGACCACTGCATTACGTATGCATTGCATTTCAGGTCGTCCTGGAAATCATCCAGCTGTACTTCACACCTGCTGGTGGGTGAGCGATGTGCCCAAAGGCATCAAACTGGCACTTGCTCAATGCCACAAAATGATACAAAATGGACATCTGAGGCAGAAGATTTGGTGCACCTTGCAGCATCAGCTATGTATCAATTCAGGATTACAGTCAGTAATTCTTCTTCAAACTTCGATCCTTTAAATCTTCTGCAGTTGCCTAGGGTTGGAGCTTCGGCAAAACTTTCCGTTTTCCCTTTGGCACGACTCAGCGGTCTGAAGCCGTCCTGTCAGAAAAGCAAAAACAGCAGGATTGAGGCAGATTTATCTTTGTGCAAGCTGTCGCTGCCTTGCCGTGTCAGTGACTGTCAGTGTGTCACTTGGTGAATCAAAGAATCAAACTGAACAGCAGCTGCTAGTGTTCAACCAGCAGTTTTGCATTCACACACACACACTGACTGATCATTGTCATGCAAATCGTGTTTCGCAACCACAAGTAATTTGCATCTGTTTCAGACCGATGGGAGCACGATACATCTGTGAAATTAAATGAGAGGCTGACAAAACACAATCAATGTAGGGTGGTGGACTGAAAGGCTTAAGAGCAATAATTATCCCCCAGCTGAGACGAACATGCACGGGGAGGATACGCTTAGAACATCTTAGAACATTTTAGAACATATCACATTTGCATGGCGATTTGCTCAGATTGCGTTGGCAACCTTTGGCAACCATGGTTCGCGGTCAAAAACGGAAGCACGGAGATGAAGCAGAAAACGATGTCAGTGAACTCACTTCAGCGTTGAAGGAGTTGCCCAGGACGGCACTGCTACACTTTCGGCGCGATCTCTCCATGCAGCCGTACTCACAAGCGTTGCACTCCTTGGAGGTGTGCCCAAAGATTGCTGAAGTGTTGCACGGTGTTCAAGCTGAGCAAGTGGCAAAATCCCTGGCAATTGCTCTGGGAGACTTGTGGTGTTGGAGTTTCGATTCCGATGAAGTTGATGCTGCGCAGAAAGCTTTGCAGACCATGCTGGAAGATGGCCGGAAAAAGCTCCTGGATGCCCTGAGAGCAGGTGAATCTTTCTGTGCTGTCGTGAAGAAATACACAAGCAAAAAGGATGGCCAACCTCTGATGAAACTCGGAAAGACTCGGGTAATGTGGCTGTTGGGTTCAGGGCCTGAAGAGGGCAACGATGCGTCCCAAAAGAAACGGCCGAAGAAGAGGCGCAGCCGACGCAAAGGGAAGGACCAGGACGGCAAAGTGACATCTGAGGCCTCCAGTAGCTCCGAGGAGGCTGTTGCCAACAAGAAGGAAAAAAACGAAACGCTGAATTTCCTGGAGTCGATCAAAGAACTTTGTGCCAAAAAGAGGAAGCAAGGCCGTTCAACTTGAGCAACACCCTGCCATCCAATAGCATCCATACCATTGTTGTCTCGAAGTTCCTCTTACAGTGCAATTCAATCGGCACCTGCTGGTTCTGTAATCTTCAGCACCGTAGCAAGACCTGATCAAGAAGATTTATAAGGATTTGTAAGGACATTTTGCATGCCGGGCGATTCCGGCTTTCAGATGTCAACGTCGAATTGTGTCATATCGTGTCATGGCCTGGCCAGACAGAACTGTTTGCCTCAACACACGGACGGAAGCTGAATGAAGGTTGGCAAAAAGTGGGAGAGAATATGAGAGAATGGTAGCTTGACGTCAGAAACACTCTGGAGGTACTTCAGGATTTGTCCAAATGTTTTATAATGTTTTATATTGCTTTCTGCGCATTTCCGCACTTTCCTCTTGCTAGCAGCAAAGTTCATTGCCGAGACAGATTCGGTGCGGCTGTTTGGCTACTTAGCTGGCAACATGCAGCGGTCTGCGAGTTCCTTGTTACGACTCTACTGTCTACTGTGCTTCTTACAGTCCTGTCGACATTCCGAATGCACAGCAACAAGTCTCAAGAAGTGAACATGTGTGAGACTTAGAGACTTATTTGATCTTATTTGACTTGGACTCAGTGGTTTGGTAAGCCTATCCTCATTGTGACGTGTTTTTTTTAAATAAACGCAGCTGATCTCACCATGAGCGAATGCCGAGCGAATGCCTTTGACGCGACGCTTGACACAAGTCACGCAAGTTCGTGAATCACTTCCAGACGACGAGGCCAAAGTCTGGATCCTGTGGCATCCTGTTGCAGTTGCATCAACTCGTTTAAGGATACTGAAATCTGAAGACAGATACTGTAGTCTCAAAAAAAACACAGCTGAATCAGGTGAAGGCAGTGAAGTGGCTTCAGCAGGCAGAAGCGATCTTGATCTGTGCTGGTGATATCTTCACCTCTGAAGCTGATGCAGGCAGGCATAGATAACATAGCATCATTGGATCGAGCTTCAACAGGTTGCATTGACGTATGGCTATGGGCTATGCATCAAATGTCCGGGTACCCTGATGAACACCCAAAATAACTGGTACTGGTACGTGGAAGTTTATCCCCTCAAAATGATGTGGTACACGGCGTATTGATCCACAGGCCGTAGCCATATGTTGTACCATGACTACGACTGCATGCCTTCTACCTACCCGATGATCAGGTATATTCCGACCAAGTCCGCTGACTGCAAGAGGAGGACTGGAGCATGGGATTCCAGCGCAGGGATCTTGGACACCTGTTTGTGCCCTATGGCGCGAGCACCGTGGCGACTCTGAGTGGGTGGAAGTGATCACCCAAACATGCAAGATATCAGTGGTTGACCACCCAAAAAAGACAAGATCAAGAATCAAGAAAGTGATGTTTATAAAGGACATACAAGGAAAGCTGAAAACGTCATGATGGATGGAAGATTTAAGGGCCTATTTAAAGACCTAGCTGAGACCGTCAGCATGGTGAGTGCTCGCGCTTTTTGTGGTGTGGCAACCAGTTGTGGAGACTTCATCCATTGCACATGTTGGAAAACACTTGTCAGGAACCGTCCAACCGACTTCCAACTTATCACCTTCTCAACAGACAATATATTGACTCAACCCACATTTGCATCATTTGCAGAAGATCAACACAGTCATGAGTCGTGCAAGTGTCCGTAGTGCCAGGCAAGCCAGACAGCGCAGTAGACATATTGGATTAGAAAACATGGGCCGTCAATTTCTGTACCCAATTGCCATCACTACTAAGGTGAACACCCCAATTAATTAACAATGGTTTATAATAAACATTAATAAACATTATATGAATCTGGGGTTAACATTAGTGGTATCATAGGGTGCTGGAAATGTCTTCACTAAGGCATCTGCAACTGGACAGTGCGAGGTTATTTGAGAGCAACCTGGCATCATTGGAAGCTGCTGGATAGACCGAAGGTCCGGATGAAAGACCATAATGAACAAAAGATAACAAAAGGAACTAGCGGCTTTCAAGTTTATGAACATATCAAAGAAACATGACGAATGATGAACGATGCATGATCATGATCATGATATATGAGATATATTGTATAGGAATGTATAGGCTATATTGATGATTATTGACAATTGATATGATGATGAATTCAAACAGTATACGGGGATCGGTTCACTGTGCCTTGTTGTTGTTGTTGTTGTTGTTGTTGTTGTTGTTGTTGTTGTTGTTATTGTTGTTGTGTTCAATGTCTATATGGGAGCCGATTGCACATGCAAGTCTACGAATTATGAAAGGGCATATGTATTTCAGCATCCGTGATTGTAAAACCCTGGATTGATCGGCGATAGGTTTGCGATTGAGACAAACAATTGTTGTATGAGAATCGACTATTGTCAGAGGAGAAATCAATATTATTCATGGCATGATCGTTACATTTCAGCTTTATATTATATATATATATTGTATTCGGATCTGCCTAGACACTGTGGTCAATAGTGATAACCAATAGCAAAGAAAATCAGAACAAGTTCAAAGTCTAACAACCCAGATCAATTCAGTTTTCAAAAAATGTGGATGAAATCCGCGATTGCTTCGCGGTTGATCCGCGATTGTTAAACCCGCCTGAGTAGGCCCTGGCTCACGCCATGTCTCTAAATACTGTGATATATAGCAATGTTTTGACGATTCTCTGCGCAAAATAGTGTCGCATACGACAGAACCCTCCGGCGATTGACACCGCTGGGAATGCGTTTGATTCGCGGTTGATCGGCGATTGTAGCTGCTCCAGATACCTTTATTTTGATCAACATCCATGACGGTCGCCGAGTCTGAGGCGATGCCGCTTTGGCCTGGGCGTACTGGGGCTTTTGGTGCAAATGTTACCTGGAGGAAGCACCAAATGCCGCCAGGAAGCAGATTTTGTGGACCAGTTCTGGGATGAACTAACTCAGATCTCAAAAGCAAGGGGCAAGTGGTCTCACATTGTGGTCCCATGTACAATTCTCTGTTGCACATCACAATACTTCCAAGGATTTTTACCGATACCTGGGTACGTGGGCTTGCTCACGATCTCAAGGCAGGATGATGAAAATTGAGAGCCTGACATTTCAGAGTATCCCAGAGGGTCTTGATGGTCTTGTGATTTCTGTGCTTTTCCTTCATTGGCTGCACCTGGTTGCACTTGGTTGCACGGAGCACAGGCTGTTTTTGCGTGACGGAAGGGATCTCCGGGCACTGGGCCCGGACTTTGGGTGAGGAGAGCATTTGGGAGACCCGCGGCTCGGTCTCTCACTTGTTCCTTGCCGAGTTTCCAGGGAGGATTCGGGAGGATTGACCATACCTTGTGCATAGGAGGGCTCCTGGAATCTAGATGAATCTAGTGGATTTGATGTTGATCTTATTTGAATGTCCATGATGTGCAAAAAACCAAGCGACATTACGCTTTGTTTTTTTTTGCACATCAAGGACATTCAAAGTAATAAGATCAACATCAAATCCACTAGTCCACCTATCTCGGCACAGGGCATTTTTTGGCAGCGCACCAAGTGCTGTAAGGCAGCGGGTTGACGGCTGCGACAAAGTGTGGCGAGTTGGCGAAACTTGGATGTCGTTGACCACCCAACGTATCGTGACAGGCATCACTTCGCAGGTGACAGACTCTCAGCTTGCATTATCATTTCAAAATGTTTAGAAACAATTAGAAACAAAAAGAAGCATGCCAAACCATACTGTAAATTTTAAACTGTAATAGCTCTTTTATATACACTTGGAATAGAACAGAACGGCTTGGCTGACTGGTTTCTCCATCATTAGTCTTGCCAAGGGCATGCGAGATGGTCTCAGCATAGCCACGTCTGCCCTGACGTCTCTCTTGGACAATTCCAAGTCAAAGTCAGCCACATCCGCTTTGTCAAAGCTCAAGATCAAGCCAGAAGGCACACGCGACTCAAAGCTAAGCCCAACACCAAGCAACCGGAACTCCAAACAGACTGACAAAGTGGAGCAAAAGTCAGCGGATGCAGCTGATATTGTGAGGGCCCGGATATCACAGACTATCCCAACGCTGGAGATCAAGCTGCCATTGCCCTGGAGTTTGCAAGCAGGAGAGGCAGGCGCTACTGTGAAAACCTCATATCAGATTGCCATGCCGGTCATTGCGTCTAGGATAGTCGATGCAATGATTTGTTTCTACATGTTCATCACGTTTCTACATTGTCATGACATATCATGCATATCATGTGTCATCATGACATTTATCATTGAATCATTTGCATATCATGACCTTTCAGGCGGTAGAAGTGAGGACCCGGGATCCCGTTGAGAACAGTAGTGCGCATCGTTGGTCCGCTTGGCATGGAGCAGCAGCTCGCCCACCTTTGTTTCCTTGAGTACGGATTGTCTGAAATCAGAATGGGCAAAAGTTTGAGACCCGAAAACCACACCTTGCAGACCTTGCACCTTTTTCCATCTTTTTCCAGCATCAAATTACCAGAAGTCTGATAGATCAGCCATGTTCCTCACTCTTTTGCTGAGGTTGTTGCGGAAGATGGCTTCAGTGTGTCTTCGAATGGTCATCCTGAGCGAGCACATGCTGTTCGCAGACCCAAAGGTCAAGATCTTCTCCGGGCAGATGGCGATCTTCCGAGGTCAAACCATTCCGGATCCATTTTTAGTTTGTAAAAATTTGTAAATTTAAATGACTTTGAATGACTTTGACTTTGCGCTGATTTGGAAGGATAGGGAAAGAAACCAAAATTTGGGTTTGTTGTCCACACAACGAGACTTCGTTCATGACATAGAAACTGACACTGTTTCAGGGATCCAGAAGATTCCTCATCGCTGGCTCGTCCCAATGTATCCATGTGCAGCTCTTAGTTTGAATCTTCGGGGATTATTGGAAGCCGGAAGCAAAATGAAGCAAACACAATCGGTAAATTCTGTCACTGAACTCTTGCTTTCTTGTCAAGGTGCGGCGATACCAAATTCACTCGTTGCAGATGTGATAGGCCTGGCTGGATCTTGTTCGCAAAACAAGACATGTAAGATCGGTGGCATAGACATGCTCACGACATCTCACGACATCTCACAACTTATTGCAGCTGTGCAGCTAGGACAAAAGATCTGTCATGAGATCCTATGATCCTGTGAGTCTATGAGTGAGGCAAGAGAAAACTTTCTACGAATGGCTGCACGCGTTGCCGCCAGATTGCCGCCTCGTCGTATTAGAGGTGCCCCAGTTTCGCAGCTTCACATGATTGTCATGATTGCCTGAAGCAACAAAACGCGGCTGACTTTAAACGTAAGCAGTTGCCCTCCCATGCTGCAGTTGTATTTACTGCGGATATTCCTTTGGAATGCTGTGGGTTTCATGACTCCAATGACCCTGAGGAGTATCCGAACAATTGCATGGTTAACCCATCTTAATTGCTGTACACCATGCTATATAAATCTATAAGAATCTATATAATATCGCAACATGTTATAACATATATTATTATACCTTATAATATATAATAATAATATATCATAATATATTATAATATAATATATTATACTAATATATTATAATAATATATCATAATATATTATAATATAATATATTATACTAATATATTATAATATATTATAATAATATATTATAATATATCATAATACATTATAATATATTATAATTCATAACATATTAGAACATATTAGAACTTATTATAGAATATTATACCATGTAATTCTCATATTTTAACATATTACCAGATATCACAACATATTATAATCCCATTCACACCAACCAACGTGAACTGTTGGGACTTTGGTATTCAGGTTGGGCTTGGCACGGCTTCTCAAGAAGTTCTGCAAGCTCAAAGGGCCGCCCATGCCTTTCCGAATTCCAAGATGATTCGCCACCCGGAGCAAAGCGTCGAAATGCCGACGATGTACCATCATACTGGGAACCGATGCGTCCGGCTGGTTGAAAATCAGTTGAGTTGCCTACGATGGTATAATATGATATAATATGATGGTATGTGACATGTGTTGGATCAAGGACAGTGTGCAGAGTGTAGGCGACACTTTACGGAGACATATGACCCGTCAGCAAACAGTATTGACCCCGTCACATTTTTCTCGGAAGATGGCACTTTTTTTCTTGATCAAAACCTCTGAGGTATTGGCAGCACCCGTTTGAAGAAGCCACAGAGTGCCCGTTGCTGTGGCATTTTCGGTAAAACATCTCAAGGAATGCAACGCTTGATGGAGGTGCTAGGAGACGTATCAGAATCAGTGCCAGAAGGGCAAACACATGCTGAAGAGAACGAGGATTCGATGGAGCAGCCAGCAGGAAATTCAGATAGCATGGTGACTCCAAGCGCCAACGAAGGCTCTGACCACAGGAACAATGATCCCCTAAAGAGCAGTCAGGCTGAAGCAGCTGAAGCAGATGGATTGATGCATTGGGATGAGATTGAAAACACTGGGGAGCCAGACAATGGCGATGCGTTTGCGCAGTTGGCAGCCATGGCTTCCGGCATGTTCTCTGCTGAGCCTGATGAAACTGACAACTAAGAAGGGTTCAAATCGCTACGTTGTACGCCATGCGCTCGGGCCACTCTTTGGAGACGTGATCGGTGCAGTTTTCCTGGAGACAGTTCTGAGGATGTGTGAATTGGGCACGGGATAGGTGGCTTGCATAAGTTGTCCAAGTATGAAATTTGATTGCAGAGATTGGACCTCGTCGACTTCAGCGGCCATGTTTGTGAGCATGATTTTGATATATTTTGATGGTGATTCTACCTTGACCCAATGTGCTCCGATGTGCACATGTCCATGGGACGTACCAGTGTCAGATTTTTTCAGGCTGTGAAGCCCATTTTCATCCATGCAAACACAGATAGGTGCGAGCATGGTGCGAAGCAGCTGCTGGAGCCATTTTTCTGTTTCCGAGACGCAGACATTGTCCCATTGTCCCGTCATGCAACGCAAGAATGACAAGCCAGCCGGAAGAATTGCAAATTGATCGCTGCAGCCACAACTAATCGTGTCAACGGCATGAACGTGGCTGCTGGATGTTCGCTGGCAGTCTCAATTTCATGTCAGGAATCCCCGGGATAAGCTGGGTGGCCTCGGCCTTCGCAAATGGTGCATGCACAGATTTGGATACAAAGAGGAAGGCTGCGACAGAGGTGCGCCTCAATCGCAAGATTCACAAGATCAACGCCATCAAAAGCAACACGCTGCGGCGCTTGCTAGGAGAGAGAGAAACTCACAGGCCCCGCCATCGCGGAAGCTCATCAGATGATTGCCCAAGAAGAGGGCGACAAGCACAACAATGCCACCACGGAAGAATTGTCCGCCATCTTATGCAACAGATGCCACAAGAAACCCATGAAAGTCAAGGTCATGAACTTGATCCTTATGAAATTATATTGTCACACCTCCAGGGCTTGAAGTCATCCACCGAGGCAGAGTGGCAACAGATGATGGCAAAGGTGCGCATGATGCAGGGCAAGTACGCCTCCCCTGTCCTTGCATAGATTGAGCTTCGTCCTTTGTGACTCATGTGAAGCATCGAATTCAGCTTTTCTTGAATACCTGGACACCTGTGCCAGCTCTCTAAAATGAGGTAGAGTTCAAGTGTACAGCTGCCCTTGCATGGAGTGCAGGGCATGGAGTGCAGGGCATGGAGTGCAGGGTCCCAATGACTGCAAGGTGACCGCTGCCAAGAAAGTCACTGTGAAGGAGGAAGAACAAGTGAGATGTTTTTGTGAATTGACGATATGATTGTGGTCTAGTGAGTCTAGTTTCATGCCTTAGAAAGGCCTTATTGCACAATTTGAACACATGTTGTAATGGTCTTCGGAAGTAAACACTTGAGCGCCAGAAACTGCAGGTTCAACTGGTGACCGGACGTTTTGAGTACACGCGAGCCAAGTGGTTTGAAAGGAGTTGTTTTAGACAGTCCTGCGTTAACGAAGGTGAACTGGTCCGGTGCGTGTGGCTCTCCGCCGTGTTGTATTGTCCTCGCAACAATCCTGTAATCCTGCTACCCTCTGTTGGTTGGAGCTCAACGACTCTCAACGGATGGACATGGAAAGATAGTTGGATATGATGCACTTCCTGCAAAAGGATCAAAAGGATTCAAAAGGAGTATCCTCAAGAATTGTCAATCAACGTTAGAATTGTAAACGACATGTCTGCTAAGTCAGTTAGACCTGCCGCTTGGTATCTTGTTTGACACGTTTTTGGTCGAGAAAAGTCTAACCCACCCAGGTTGAATCTGTTCAGCCACTTTTTCAAGCGTCAAAAGCTCGATTTTCATCAGCTGCAATGCACGTCATAGTTTCTTCTAACGCTTAGGTTCAAGGATGCTTGTTGCCTTACTGTACCTTTTAACTTTTTTGGTTCGCTCTCCTGGGGTCGGTTAGCACGGACTTTCAATGTCTACTACGATGGTCAAAGAAGACTAGTGACTAGTAGAATCTAGTAGCTAGAACATGCTAGAACTCTGACAACAAACCAATGCAGTCGAGACAGTCAAACTCTGACTTGACTGTTCCATGACAAAAATTACTCTGACATCAAATTGGGATCGGGTTATGTACAACAGAATCATTTGGTCAACGTCGCAATGTTGGTTCCTGAGAAGGCGTTCAACTGGAAACACCCTATAACGGTTCTTTGTCTTGATTTCGGCTCATAGCACTTGCAGATGTTCCAACAACTCTACAATGTGGCCATGCGCAGTCATCAAGGGGAGAGACAGACAGATCACAACAGTGGAGGACATTGGAAACAAACTTGGTGAGCGTATCTTTCTGCAAGCAAGACGCCAGTGATAAGCAAACGTGCGAGGAACTCCAGGGCCAGTCTCTTCAGCAGTTCTTTTGCGACCCCGGATTGTCATAAATCCTCTTAGCTTTTAAATATTTCAAATGTTTATATGCTTTGACCAATCTTCTGAAGGCCCAAGTTCAAATGCCTGAGAACAGTGGTGGAAGCAAAGTAAGGCCTTTACCAAATCAACAGCTTGCCAGATTCAAACTTCGCAACTCAACGTTTGGGTGTATGATGGCTCGCAATGGCCAGCTTCAACACAGTGCTGAGCCGCACACAGGAACCCAAGAAAATGCTTTTAAAGTACAAGAAAGATCAATAAAGTACATAATACGTGAAAGCTAATCGTCAGTTTGGCCTCTCAGGACGAAGCGACCCAGAATCTTCTGGGTGGAACAGCCACAGTCCCAGAAATTGACACGGACGGACAGAAGTCTCTTTCAGATATTTTCAGACTGCATCCTTTCAACTTGACCTGTTGAGATTGATGCGCCACCGCTGCCGCCGCTGCCCCAACCACATTCTGCAGGCGGTGTCATCCAGGGGCACACAGCACGTTGATCTGGGATAACTTGACATGTTTGGCAAACGTCACTGGTTGGAGCAACCTGCCAACAGGTACGCTGCAGTGCGATGCCCATAGCTTCTCCCACAGAAATCAGAAACTTCGAGCCGCCGAGCCGAGGAATGGAGCTCTGATGCCTTCGGCTCCTTTGGAAGTCCCATCCCCAGGGTGCAAAGCCGTGGCGGCCAGGATTCGACAAAGCCATGGCCTAGGCAACTGCGACTTTCAGCTCGACCCAGGCGATGAGGGATGAAGTTGGCAGCTGTCCTATGATAGAATACATATCCATTTTGTTTGAACTTGGTGGTTTCACCAAACTTGATGCCTTAGTTTCCCGCTGGGCTGCAATGACACGCGATGTGCGGCCACAGAAAATTAACCTTTACTTTGTCCCGATATAAATATTGCGAAACCCAGCCCTTGACCTTGGATCCTGGATATCATTCCACCTTTTGGACATTTAGATGTTCAATAATTCCACTGTAAACTGTAAACTGTCATGTGGGGTGTCTTGGTACCAAAGCAAGGTCATATGTTGTCGCAATGACCTTCCCAAAAACATGAAACATGCTTTAAGCCAAAAGCATCTTGGTCAACCATGCAGTATTCAATGACAATGCTTTCAACAAGTATTCGTGTTGAAAATGGTCTCGCAATCCAGAAGATATCAAGGTGTTGTTGCTTAAGCTTTCAGTGAGTGACGAAAAGTCGTGGCGAGCCCCATGTTTGTGACTTCCGTGAGCCAAATCTTGCGCTGCGGTTTAGATGCTAAAGATTTTTTTGCTCACATTCGCTCACAAAATTTCGGTGGGCCTTCCTTCCAATTCTTCAGCGAGGGCTGAAAATTTTGGCGAGCCTTCAGTTCAAAATTTTGGCAAGGCATATCTATATCTATATCTATATCCATATCCATATCTATATCTATATCTATATCTATATGTGCGCATAGAACTTGTATGTATTGTTCGTACACGTTTTACATTAGCTGATCCAAGTGGGTCTGGACACCAAATGATTGGATTGGGTGACTTCAGGATGCGACGTCACGGCTGTTGGGGCTGAGCGAGCGGTGACTTGGACAGCAGTGGGTTGGCGACTAAACCAAGTACTACTTGTAAGAACCAGATCATAGCATGTCACTGTGGTTTTATATGCTTTTATAATCTTATATATATTCTGTGTATACATATATATATGCTATTATATATGTTTGAAAACATTTTTGGGTTCTATGAGTTCTTAAAGTTGTTGATTCGGATCTGTATATATATACAAATAAAGATGGATGAACTTGCATTGCGCGAGCGCCATTCTCATCAACGGACCGCACATTGACCCGTATGGATGTTACTAGCGGAAAGGTATGGGATATAATCCCCAACTTCTTACACCTGAATGGGTTGCTCGTACTTAGACTGAAATACTTGCTGTGCCAAAGAACATTCACATAACACTTTTGTGACAACGCACGCTCTTCCAAGGCCAGAAGAAACAAAGCGTTTCATTCTCAGATCAAAATGATTGTCAGCACAATTTGGGAAAAAGTATAGCAAAAACACGAGCCATGTTGAGTCATGTGGAGTCACTTCTGCAAAGAGTCTAGCTGGCCGCCTGTGGCCAGCTAGATGATCTTTTTGCCACAAGTTTGCTGCAGGTTCTCGCGGTGATGATGTCACGACCTTGGATTGGATTGTTGACCATAGCGGCTAGCTGTGTTGGCATCCATTGGACGGCCTTCATGGCTGACCGAATTGAGACTAGACAACCTCTCTGATTCTCCCAATCTTGGTTTACAGTCATTTAGAAATCACCCAATGTGCCCAACTTGGTTTACTTTTTTGGAAGAAACACAACTATATCCAGATGTTCAGATTGAAAGAAGCAAAGACCCTTCATGACTGTTGGACAGGCGCAACGGGAGAAAACCGAACTGCAAGCAACGTGTGGCGCCTAACTGTGACTGAGCTGGCGGCCTGGAACTGCCACAGCCACTGTCCAGGTGCTTCCGGCTGGTGCTGAATGGGGAGATTGAGTCAGCTGAAATGGGTCAGGCTCCCATCCCTGCGGAGCCATGCGGAGCCATGCGGAGCCTGCGGAAAGTTCCAAGACATTTGCCCTGAAGTTTTGATGCCCCAAGGAAGTGGCGGCCATGGGCCATTGATGTGCATATTTTCTGCTGAGAACTTACTGCAAGACTACGATTTGACTTTGTGTTTGGCCTGTTTTCGTCTTAACATGTCTTGACCAGAGTCGGAGCTTTTGCACTCAGATGCAACATGGACCTGACTGGACGCTCATTTCTGGTGTGCCGGATGGGACTCAAGCTTAGAATGATGTTGCAAATGCATTTGGGTCATCAAAGATTGAACAAAATTCAGTCTGCACGTTTGGCTGCTTGTGTAAGACATGTTCTTGAATGATGACTGTGAGCTGTTTGAGAGTATTTAAGTGTCCAGGATCACACAACTTGCGTGCGCTTCAGTACCTGCATCATCATTTGTGCCTTGCTGAAAATTGACGAAACACAAAGCAGAGATCTTCACAGCGATTGCATCCAGCTCCATCCAGCTAGTGCCAAAGTGGTTTGGAAAGGCATTGAAATGGCAGGCATATTGGAAAATCAGGACCATTAGAAGGAACTAATTCCAGCTGTGGTAGCAGTTCAGGTCACATCATGGCGAGGTGGCTTAGCGGAAGTGGTGCTGCCCTTGAGTCGTCCACTTTCTCCGACGACCAAACGGGATGGCCAAAGTTATCGGCGTCATCGCTGTCAGGTGTGGAGCTTCCCTTTGGGAATGGTCTACAAATCAACATCGCAGCAGCCTGATCCACGTAGATGCAATGTTTTTGCTGCTTGGATCTCTTGATAATTTGGGATATCTATGGATATCTTGATATCTTGGGATCATGGTCCAAGTGATTGGCATGGATTAGCTTGGCTTGGTTGAATATGTTGAATTGACACAAATGTCCAGTTTTCAAGGCCATTTGGATGGCCTCGCATTGTTTTGACGGTGTACGGTGCCAGCTTCAGCGCAAAGCACATTTCCCCTTCCGAACCTCACTGCACTTTGATGTCACATGAAAAGAAGAACTGAATCTGAACTGTTTGTTCTTTGATGCTCTTTTTTATTTGAACATTCTTCATCAAACACCCCCCGCTCTCAAGCGACCGTTGGACGACGGTGTTGGGCACTCAGCTTTAGGCACGGACATGTGCAATCGCAGGGTGGCCAGCACCTCAATAATGATGCGACGACTGCAGTATCATGCTGTAGATGCTGTAGTGATTTATAGCATCTGTAGTCTATAGCGTATTGATGCCCCTATAGAGCGATCTAAAGCGGGTACTGTATAGTTTATATTTATGTAGGCTTAGTTTATAGATGTTCATAGTTCATGCGTGTTTGCGATGTTTGTATTGTACATATTGTACCCGGTATACTTCTAGATTTGCTGGCTATATCATTGAATATGGTGAGGCAACCAGTTCTGCCATGAGGTCAAGGGCTATGGCTCTGTCCATGTGCCATGCCAACCTGGAAAGCACACCCGGACGTGGACCTCTCAGAAGGGCTAGGTGCATAGGTATGAAATGGGACCACCCAATGTATGTATGCATCGTGTTTGGCAGGCACTGGGTGTGCATTATCATTAGGGTGAGTGTGTAAGTTGATGAATCCATTTTGGCTCAAGTCTGAGCCAAACTGGCTTCATCATTCTTCTTTTTGTTCGGGGTACCCACACCACTACTAGGGAGTCACCCTAGGGTAAGTGGTTATTCGTTCCTCTACTAGGGAGTTACCCTAGCGTACAGAGGTTACGGAGGTGGGAGATACCCCCCTGATGCCCAGGGACACCGTTGTCGTTCGGCCGGGTTGGAATGAGGCTGCCCACACCGACGCTGAGATCCTTCACGCGGCGGCCTACTACGAGTTCAAGACCCACGTGGAAGGCCTGCTCCAGCGGGGCCTGGTGTCTCAAGCCACCAGGTTATGGTCCTCAGTGTGTCAGATCGATCATTTCCCCCCTCATCCCATTGGTTTGGGGGTGGAGGGACTTCCCCCTTTCAGACGGTCACCCTGCATGGAGGAAAACTGTAGGAGGTGTACCGAGTTTTTGGGAGGATTCAAGTTCCCATGGATTGGTACGTGGAACGGCTCAGCTGTCTTGGCTCTGCCCGGGAGTGACCCGCAGCTGGCGTGGCAGTCCTACTATGATCGCCTGGGCGAGGCGAAGCTGGACTTGCTGCTCATTGAGCCGCTGCGGACCCATTGGACAGCCAGGGACTTTGCGCCGGACAACATCTTCGGCTTGGTGGCCTTCATCGAGCACAATGCCGAGAGTATGGTCGACCTTGCCGAGCTGTGGGATGTCTGGAGGAAGTGGCAGTCCCCGCGCCGAGGATGGAGAGACCCATCCATGGTGCCTATCCCAGCTGACCTGGTTGCGTGGAGGGCACCACGGGCCAGGGCAGTGCGGTCGCTCTGGGGGTGGCTCGGTGCCATGGAGGCTGGGGAGGAACCCTTGCCGCCATGTCGGGCCTGTGGCATTCCGACCCCAGAACTATGTGAGCACTGTTTCTCTTCAGTGTGCAGTACCTGTCCACCCTCCCAGTGTCCAGGCTGTCACCCCAACTTGCATAGAGACCCATCTGCAGCAGCTGCGGCCTAGTGATGCATGTTTCGTACCTGGTGATACTGAGGTGAATTCTGCAGTTTCAGGCCCAGCGCGAACGCTCCAAACATTGGCAGCGGTGGTGTCGGGGGTTGCCATGGCATATCACCCAGGTGCCTACGCAGTTCAAGCTGCAGGTGATGCTCCGCTTGGCGCTGAGACTGCGATGGAACGGGTGGCCTCAACGAGGGTGGAGCAGTGGCGATCTCAATGGGGATTGCATGACAACACGGACTTCGCCTATGCCTTCGCATCATACGACAGCGCAGTGGCGCATGGAGGACACCATGTTGCCGATGCGTGGCTGCAGGCGCGTTCCAACATCATTGAAGATGACCTCATTCCGCAGGTGGCGGCAGTAGCAGAGAGTTCTGGATCTCGGGATAGGCCAGCAAGTTGGCCGGCTCCCAAGGCTTCGATGTTGAAGAAAAGCAGGATGATCCAGGCACTTCGCATCCGTCCAGGCCCAGATCAACCAGAACAAGTGCTGCTGAGAGCCGAGGCTTTGCGGAAAGCATTCTCCCAGGCCAAGGTGATGCGCCCTCAAGGGGAGCTGACCCCTGAGAGGTATTCACAATGGCAGGATGCCCTGGATACCCTGGCCAAGAAGAAAGTCACGGAGGCAGAGGGCGCCACAGTTGTGAATGCCCTCAAGTCCTGGGCAGAATTGAGGGCATACATGGAACAGAAAGATCGTTTGTTTCCGCCTGATACTTTGGATCTTTATGGCTTTCTACAAAACGGCACCAATGGACCCTACAGGGCATTTCATTCTTTGAAATGGTTTTCGAAACATGGTCGCTTGCAGTGGGACTTCAGTGATGTGCCAGTGCCCTCAAGGAAGAATCCACCCAAGAAGGCAAATCCTGAGCAGGCAGTCGCAGTTGAACCGCCGATGATTGCTGCCCTGGAAGAGCGCATACAGGCCATGTACGAGGCAGAGGACCCACGTTGGCGAGGGTTGCTTTCATCATGGCTGGTAACCTTTGGTGTCTTGCGTTACAAGCACATCATGAGGGCCAGGCCGGTGAAGGTGACACCATCTTCGTTCCATGGGTTTTGCCCGAAGGGCAAGCAGCGGGCCAATCGGGGTGGATTCTCCTTCTGTATCCCCGCAACATTCGTGAATGGATGGGCTTGGGGAGCCGCCCTATTTCGGGACTATAGCAAGCTGACCAAGACCAAGCAGGCCACCTCAGGCCTCTGTTTCGATGCGGAGGGTACCGCATTCACCTTGAAGTATGTCAACGACTTGAACCGCGAGGTCTTCGAGCACTTGGTCCAGAACACAGACGATCTGTCGTCTTACTCTTGGAGGCGAGCTGGCCCCACAGTGGGATCACTGATGAAGCTGACGCCCCTGGAGTTATGTTCGCTTGGCGACTGGGCCGATCGGAGCCAGATCCCCAAAGAAGCGACGATGCCTATGCACTACAGTGCAGCCAGGTATGAACACTCGCTTCGGACCAAGCACATCATCAGGCTGGCCATGGAGAAGTTGTTGGCTTACGAGTCTTGGGAGACGATTCCGGAACAGAGCTTTGCGGAGGCCCTTGACTATGCGCGCCAGCAAGTCGACAAGGTCCTGAAGCAGGAGTCCCGTGTCATCTGGGCAGCCCCTTTGACTAAGGATGAGTTACAAGCTCGTTTTCAGTTGTCAGAAGCCCTCAAGCTCAAAGCAGCTGCCAAGAGGGAGGAAGCCCAAGCCAAAGGTGGGCTGACGGCTATGCCAGCTTCCCTCAATGGGAAGGTGCTGAGTGCCTTCATGAAGAACGGGGCGCCTATTTGTGGGGCATATCAAACGAAGTCCTGCCCGTTAGAGAAGGAATCATGCCCGGGTAGGCATGCATGTGCCGTGATGCGCAAATCTGGACGCGTCTGTGGAGGAGGACATCCAGCATGCGAATGCCATGACAAGAAGTTCATCAAGGTGGAAGAGATGCCGGGCGAAGGGACTGGTTCGGGCTCTGCGAAGGCTAAGCCTACCAGCAAGTCCAAGGAGGAGCGACCTCCTGAACCAGCCACCCCACCCAAGGCGCCAGCGAGGCGCCCTCGATCGCCACAGGGCCAACCGCCTAAAGCACCGCCTGAGAAAAAGGCGAAGGCAGCTCCAGCTACACCTGCAGCTCCTCTTCCAGCCCTGGTTTCGAGCTCTGAGGATGAAGAGATTGAAGTGGAGGAGGAAGACCTCCCGATTCCAGAGGCACTGGACACCCGGGGGCCTGACAGGAAGTTTGACAGGCTGGCTACTGTCCACGGCAAGACTGCAGAGAGCCCAAGCCTGATCTACCAGAACAGAGCAGGGGGCAAGCTGTGGCTGAGCGGGATTCCTACCAAGAATACTGCGCATCGCTTTCCGAAGGGAGTTACCCTTCAGATTGCATGCATGGCTGAGACCCCATCCTCCCGAGGAGGAGTAGTGCTGACGGATGCCCTCTTGAAGCACCTTTGTGTGGCGCATGGCAACTCCAGGAACAGGGACTTTGAGGAAGTCTGGCCCCTGCTGCGCAATACGATGTATGCAGGAGAATCAGCACTGATCCATTGCCTGTCAGGACGTCACCGAGCTGGTGTTGGAGGCTGCGTCTTCAGGGCCCTACTTGCGCAGGAGAGCTGGGACGTTGCCGTGGCTTATGTCAAAAGCTGCAGGCGCTCCCTGGACATTCCGGGGATCATCCATGAGGCTGGGATGAGGTCGTGGGTTGACACGACTCTCAGGGCTAGCTCTCTCCGGAACCCATTCCCGGAGCCATGTGGCTATATCGCAACTCAGCGGTCGAAGGTCCACTTGGAGCTCAACAATGGCCAGACCCTCTGCTCACACAAGCAATCTGCCGAGCGTGCAATCCGCTTGGTAAAACCGATGACTACGCAGGATATGAGGGAGGCCATGGCATGGGGCCGCGCGTTTTGTGACAGTTGTTTGGTGCGCGCAGCAGCGAGCTGGCACCCACGCTGACCATGTCAGTGGGGACGCACCTGAATTCAATTTGAATAAGAGACGCACAGGGCCGATTTTGGTAGGCTGATCACTGAGGTCCATAGCTTGCCCGTAGGCCAACTTGCATCATGCAGTCAGATGAGCTTTGATTTGAGTGTGGAAAAGAGTCTACATCGACATCCGGGAGGATGAGGTTTGGGTAGACTCCGTTAGGAGCCCTTGCATGTTTTAAGAGTTGCTTACACAGGGAACTGTGAGTTCGAGCAGCATTGGCATGAGTATAGGGCTTAATTTGGGGACAGACTGTGTTAACTAGTCTCGTCGGTCCTCATGAGGGAGCTTACACAGGATCCTGTGAGTACAAGCTGTGGATACATGAGCCGAGGGAATGAGCTAAGGTAGCAGTCTGTCTTACCCCTGAGGAACAGGGGAGTTCTTGTCCAGCCCCCCCCCACGTCGCCTCCTCCTGTCCTTGGACGGCAGGTGATGAGCAGCATGCGGGAGGCATGTATGGGGTGAGCAGCGTTGAATGTTCAAGTCATACAAGGAGTTACCTTGAGTGAAATGACTAGTACTCGTCTGGTTCCGGTGGAGAGTACCACCATTCAGGAAACCATGGAGTCTTTAGGGATGAATTTCTCGTTGGACCCTGTCGTGACCAAGGCCCTGCTGGCGACCAAGATCCAGAACCTTGAGGAATTTCGTTTCCTTTTTGAAGACGAGACCAAGGTGGATACCTTCTTGGCGAAGTTGCAGCTTGGCGAGGAACGCCTGATTCAGGGGTCTAGGTTGCGCCGGGCTTGGACGGCGGTCACGTTGTACTACAAGAACCAGGACCAAGATCGATCCAAAGTCAGTCTTGGTGACCTGGACACGATGCTTGCTGATTCTGAGCTGCGTGATGTCAAGACCAACTTTTGGATCAGGTATCGGATGCGAT